GGTAGCAGGAAGGCGCTGAATGCAGGTCGCTACCAACCGGGCGATGTGGAAATCATTGGTGGAGGCTGGAGGCATATTATGTTCAGCAGTGGACGTCCTGTGGCTGAAATTATGTTAAATTTTCACAACCTCTGCGTTGAGAAACACGTACCTTATCGAGTTTCACATTATAATGTCAGTTTCATCCAACATACAAGCACGAGACCTCACCCAAAGTAGGTAACCAAAAAGTTGACAATAACATTCCAATGAAACAAAAACGTGTTGCGAACTTTTTGGCTACTTTGGGTGTCACGACTGTACGTGGCAACCCTAACTATCAATGCTAAAATACCTTCAGTTTGCTCATACTACGATAAAATTATCTCCACTCTATTTCAACAAATGACTCATTCCCCTTTGGCCTGTGATATCACCAGGTCAACGTGACAAATGTATCAATGCGAGCTCAATTTATATGATTTTTAGCTGTGAAGGTCATATTTTATATGTTAGCTAATTAAAAGTAGTTAATTAAGTCAGTCTGGACTGGAGATTAGATAATTTGGTTGAATTTAAATATTACATACATCGATGATCTATTATGTAAATTAAGTTATTGTCGTCATCACTCGTTCTAAATCTATTAATTGACTGACTCACTCATCACGAAATCTCAGAAACTACAAGTGCTAGGAGTCACAAATTTTGCATGAGAGTTCCTTTTGGACCGTAGTGCTCACTAAGACGGGATTTTGCAAAATTCAATTGTGTATTATAAATACCAAAGTAAAATAACTCCGTCTGTCTGCCTCTTGACCAAACAACCGATTTAGATGTAATTTAGACACAGCTTTAAGTTTAAGAGTCCACAGGGAAAAATATCTATAGGTTAGTTTCTTTCTTCCGATTTTTGAAAGAGAGATACGTGCATTTTCCGCTAAATACTATTAATGTGACAGGCCGAAATTCACTCGGACAAAACCTTAAGCAAAAGCTGTACCGAATAAAATCAAATTATTTTAAGTTTATGCTTTGGTTTAATGGTAACTCTTACTTTCCCAATTCGTCTTTCTTTCAATGTCGACGTATTTGTCTTAATGGTCCTTCGAGCCGGATTACAAAGTAATTACATCTGCAGCCGATATGAGATGAGAAATCCAAAATGTTAGTAACAATAAGATTGGGCATTGGCTGAGAGCCAGGAGAAAGGTTATTGGCTGAGGTACAGTCGACAACATAAGAGATTAGACAATTTTGTGGCAGAATCGCCTCTAATACAACTACATAAAGATTGTGTGTCACAGTGTTTACCATGATGTTTGTGTAGTCATCTGTACATATCTACAAAGTGATATTATGACGAAATTAGTAATTGGATGTTGTCATATTATTATAAAACAGAATATAATAAATAGGGTATAGAACACTACGCGTATTATGATGAGACACTCAAATATGATTCACACTAAAAACTGTCATTCACATTAAGCAGTTTGTATGAGTTAAACCTGTGATTACTTCAAATACCTTTTAAATTTCAAAATCTCCGGTTTGCCGTGTGGTTCCGGTAGAAGTAGAACTTAACCACTTCAACTCCTGCGGATCGGGACTATTCCCACCTCTCGTTCCCACCGCTGGCTGCAACTCCTATGTAGTCAGGATTACAGGCTACAGATTGACCACTAATAGCCCGCGTAAGCCCCAAAGCAATATGAACATACCCTAAGGCTGAGTTGCACCACCTAACTTTGACCGTAACGTTATAGTTCCAAAATACTGAACCGTCCTATCCATGACATTGACAGTGGGGCGCCACCGTCAATACCGGATCGCTGGTTCCGATTTTTGCCATGTTGGAAACTATATAGTTGAACGATGGTAGCGCCCCCCTGTCATTGAGTTTGGTGGGACAGTTCAGCGTGGGTCATCTATACCCGGTGTTTTTTGTATGGAGTTTGACAGATTTTTGGCGTTTGTCAAGTAAATTAAGATGGTGCAACCCAGCCTAAGACTACGGAAACTATGCGTTACCAGCATCGATTGGCTAGCGTCCTTGGCAAGGACAAAAGGTCGATGGCTCAGCAGTTTATTACATAAATAAACATGGCAGACGGAAAGGCGCCTGGAAGGTGACCTAATAACAAGATGACAGGCCAATTTATCATGGACCTCATAAATAAATTGTTTCTCTCATACAATAGTTAGCACCAAACTAAGAAGAGCTATAGTTAGCCCGGAATCCTCAACAACCACACAGGAAGTAGCTATCTTTCATCAAACTGCCAATATTGTTGTCAACATTCACGGTCAAATAACTCAACTATTTAACCAAACCGAGCAGAAAATATTGCTCTCACTGGGAACTAAACCCGGGTTCTCTGACATTTTGTTTGACTTTTTGCTAAATTGCAACATCACTTCACCTTTGCTGCGGCAGTAAATTTCTAATACTTTCCATTCCTTCGGTACAAGGTCAGTAAACCTGGTATTAAAACTTACATTGTGGCGGCACAAGGCTTAAAGACCTTGTAATATTTAAGAAATATTAATTTAATTTTTGGCTTCATGTTAATAGATATTGTGTTTTTTTTCTTTGAATATTAATAATAATGCATTTATTGACAGACACCTGAAGGCGTTCGTGAATAACTTGTTTAGTATAAAAATTATAGCTATATTCAAAATACAAGGCTTATGCACCCTGTGCCGCACTGAAGTAGGGAAGTCTGGTGGGTATTCTAGGGATGTGAAATACAAATATCGATAGTTTAAATTCAGTTTTATTAAAATTTTTAAAAAGTAACAAACAAAGATGTTTTAATAATTTAGTCTAAATATTTTACAAATAAGACATACGTGCATAAATACTTAAATAAGCTATATTTAAAGAAAACATATTAATTACAACTTCAAATGTTTGTCACGAAAAACATTATTTAAATTAGCAATAAATCGTGTAGCAAATTAAATTATAATCAATTTGCAGTTTTGATTTTGTTTGTTTCTCTTGACGCCATGTCGACATGACATGTGCGTTTCTTACAAATGCGAGGCAACACTAGCTGCACGAAGCTAGCGTTGGGTGCGGTACCAGGTGCGCAGGGTACAAGGTGCTTCGACCTGGTTTCGCATTGTGAAGACATTTTATTACTTCCGTGCGGTACCAGGTCTAAAAACCTGGTATTAAGGTAGGTATATCATTGGATTCTATTTTAAGAATACATCATAGATATATATTCATCACTTTCCTACACCGGACCCAATTGAAGTTATGCCTTTCGCACGACAAGGGAGACTATAATTTTCTTAGCCGCACGGTAAGCGAGACGTACACAAGGTCTATAGACCTGGTTTCGCACTCAACGTGTTAAGAATTTCAAATGTCTACATGCTAGTGTTATTTAGTAATGGGCAATTAGTTCTTCGACCAAAAACAAACCCATTCAAGACGTGTGTCGAGTTAGTTGCAAAACTAAAGAGACGTGCAATGGTTTTAGGTCGTGACCACGAAACTAATGTGCCAATACAAACTGTGGTGCAGCAAGCTAGTGTCAATAGATCGTCTTCATCTATCTTTTTGGAAAACTCTTCTTCGTAACTGCTTATCTTATTATGAAGAGAAAATGACCTAACTATAGACTAGGTACTAGCGGCCTCCGATTAATTCAATAATCTACGCGTGGATCCCGTTTTATCCCCTAGGGGTTGAATTTTGCAAAATCCCGTCTTAGTGAGCAGCACCTACGCTACGTTCTAAATGGAACCCCCATACAAATTTTGAGACCTTACTTATAACTTGTAGTTTCTGAGATTTCATGATGAGTGAGTGATTCTCCTTTCGGTTTTATAAATAAAGATAAAACCTTTTTATCATTCACATTTAAGTTTCAAACCTAAAGAGAGAAACACTAATCGAGTGCTATTTTTTCCACAAAGCAAAGTCATCTATCTGCCTTAATAGTTTTGTAAACTAGGGCTCTATTGAACCAGCTGAAATCACAATGGTGTTTCTTAGCCTAGATGACATCACTGCCCTTCTACCAGACCGTGAAATGTGGTCTGTTAGATCGTAAACAACGCTGTCTACCATCAAAGATGGATAATAATAGATTATTGAATTAATTTCCCATCTAGTCATCCATATTTCTACTTGGCAATAGCTATAGCAAGCTATAGGCAAGTTCTAAGATTAACTACCTAGGTACTGCTTGTAAATTCTTTGTACCAAAATTTTTCCATTATTTCTTCTGTGGATTTCGTAAAAGGTCGCCTTTCGTAAAAGGTATCTTTGAGTTTAGTTATCTTCGGTAAAAGTCAATGGAAAGNTTACCCCAGAGGATCAACTCGTACTACTTTCCCCTACTTAGGTAAGCAGTTGGTAAAAAGTTAGTAAAACTCGTACTTACTATTACAGTACTAGTGCTGAGACCTGCAGTAGCCATTATCAGCATCGTTAAATATTATATCGCCGGGTTTGGTTACTGCGGCTAATTTTTTTTTCTTGAGTAGTCAGTAGGTTGGATTTAAAGCTTACTTAGACTGGATAGTTAGGCTGGATTTAAACTTACCTACTCTTTAAAACATACTGAGGCTGAATTTAATACTTGTCTTATGCTGACTTTAGTACATTACTTAGACTGGATTTAATCACTTTTAGGCTGAATTTAAAACTTACTTCGGCTGATTTTAAAATTTCTTAGCGATTAGAGTCGCTTCTCTCTTGGGTGCGATTCCCGCTTTAGGCAGTTCGAATTTTTCAAGTTGTTTATTTAAAATTTACTTCGGCTGGGTTTAAAACCTACTTAGGCTGGACTTAAAACATACTTAAAAGCTGGATTTAAATCATACTCACAGAGACTAGATATAAAACTTACCTAAGCTGTATTTAATACTTACCCACAGAGGCTGGATTTAAAACTACTTAAGCTTGATTTAAGACTTACTTAGGCTGGATTTAAAGCTAGTCAGTACAACTTAGGGCTGCGATTCTGGCCACTAACAGCATCGTTCTGTTCCAGCAAGGCATTGGCGTGGAGCTGGTGCGAGCGCTGGAGACGCATCCTCCGCAGGTGTCCAACGTCTTCTGCGAGTGCGACTCCAAGGATGACGTGGTAAGTTGCCGTTTATAAAATTCCGTTAAAACTTAAAGCTTTATACGAGTATCATTTTTTATACACAACGAGGAAGCGCTTGGCCTGTATCTCACCTGATGGTAAGTGAAGATCAGGCCGAAGGTGGAAGCGAGCTTCACCCGGAATCCTCAACCACGGAGGAACTGGCTATCTTACCTCTAACTGCCGGAACACAATTACAATGCTGTTAATATAACACAAGTGTTGTTATGGCGACAGACTTAGGTAAGATGGTGGTAGCTAGCCAGGCGGACTTAGAACAAGCCCTACCACCAACCAAACCGAACAGAAAAATCTGCCCCCACTGGGAATCGAACCCGGGACCTCTGCGTCTGAAGCAGGTGGTCTTACCACTAGACCACAGAGGCGGTTTTCTGCTTTCTGTTCTGTGGTCCACCACAGGATTTTGGCCTACCGATTTGAAGATGATATTGATAGTACTCACTCATGATCCAATCGCAACCCCCCCTAATGTCATGTACCCCGATTCTGGTTATGTCAGGGGCCAGGCCCCCCCTGAAAAATGACCCCTATACGCCAATACTTACTTGAACCACATGAGTAAAGAAACTGCATGTGATTGAAGACCAAACAAATCAATTTAAAATAATCGCTTAGCTAATACATTCGACATACAATAATGATGGCATTCCCATCAATAAAAGTGGATGACACACTGCAGTGTCACAACAATACTAAGGCTAACTTTCATCATTTCAGCCATAGGACGTCCACTGCTGAACATAGGCCTCCCCCAATGACTTTCACGTCGCACGATTGGTAGCGGCCTGCATCCAGCGTTTCCTGCTACCTTTATCAGGTCGTCGAACTTTAACTTTAACTAACGTCAAAAATCTTTCAGACTCCATACAAAAAACACCGGTTAACGGTGTAAGGATTAAAGTTAGATGGTGCAACTCAGCCTAAATGACATTATGACACAAATTCACTTACGACAATCACAACATCCTCCTTTAAATTGTTGTATCCGTCGCAACTATTAAAGTGATTTAGTTAACTTATTTATCTGTTTGTAAACTAATGTAGGTAATATAACGTAAAATAAACTACTAGTTAAGCGCTGTGGGTCTGAAGAAGCTCACAAAAAAGTTTTCAAGTTGAACAGAATGCCTCGAGAAGGAAAAACAAAGCAAATACCTTGACTTGGCCCACGAGGTGACCGCCATGTGGGATGTTGACTCGACGATCATTGTCCCGATAGTTGTCTCGGCAAACGGGCTAATAGCGAAGAGCTTCGACCAACATCTAAAGAAGCTCTCGCTAGATGGTTCAGGGTCAGTTTCAAAAGGCGGTGATCCTCAGCCTGTGACCCTGACCACCGGTAGCTTGGGCCCTGCTCCGCTGCCGGCGGATAAACTAGTTTTAAGTTATTTTTTTATAATGTATTTTTATTTTATTTTTTGTAATACATTGTAAAAAAAATTTAAAATTATCAATAAAACTATAAATAGAGAATTAATAATCCATAATATAAAAATGAATCGCAAAATGTGTTGGTAAGCGCATAACTCAACAATGCCTGGACCAATTTCACCAATTCTTTTTTTTTTCATTTTCGTTGAAGTTCGATTGGCTTTTACGCCGAGAAAAATCCGAATAATTTCCGGGAAAACCCCTTTTCTAAACCGAATAGTTTGCGTGACAGACGCTTTCAAAGTGGAAAAAAGTAGGTCCCCCCCCCTCTAACTTCTAAAATAAGAAAATGAAAAATCTAAAAAAAACATATGATGTACAATGTACATTACTATAAAAACTACCAACGAAAGTTGTTTTGAACGAGATCTAGTAAGTAGTTTTTTTAATACCTCGTAAATCGTAAACTTTCATACAAATAACTTAAATTAAAAAAAAAAATTCATAAATCAATGGTACGGAACCCTTTGTGCGTGAGTCCGACACGCACTTGGCCGGTTTTTTATTTTAATAAAATAAAGCTTTAAATGATTTCACACCCTTCAGTCTGTATTGCAGCTGAAAGCTCGTTCTGTGTCAAGAAAAATAACCAAAAAACATAAATTCAACCCTTAGGGGACACCCGGATTTGAACCGGGGACCTACCGATCTGCAGTCGATTGCTCTGCCACTGAGCTATATCCCCAGTTGAGTGAACACTCCAAAAACAAAATCATATTCTAATGTCAAATCGCTATCTACTAGTGTGGGTGGCTACCCTACTATCGCTTGTTTTTTATATTGAGCTTTATCTCTTTGTAAATAGTAATTAAAATTGAGTGCCTCCTAACTGTCATAAATGAGATAAATCAGGATAAATCTGTAGGTATACGGTATACCTATTGGATGGAGATCGACTCTTTCTTCTAATTTTTAAGAGGTCCTGGGTTCGATTCCTTGAAGATCGGATTGTTTGGGAATTCAACATTCTTGAAATTAAAAATCTTTTGGAATCGAGCTACCTATTAAGATATCACTTTTATGAAACTCATCACTTCAATTAATAAAACAATAATCAATCAATTGATAAACTAAAAATAAGTGACATAAAAATGAAAGGCATGCTTAAAATACTGTTTAGTGGTGACGGCATAGTAGAAATAGTAATGTAGTAATATAAATGTTTTCTCTCTCCAACCCGCCTGCCAAGCGTAGGGATTATGACAAAACCCCCCACTAAAGTGTAGGGGGGTCATAGTCTAGATGAAGCTGGACTATGAGGTAGCTATACATTGCATTGCTATGCATTTAAGCATGCTCCTTGGTTTTTACTGCGATTTCGTACGATCACGCAACGTCTTTAACTCCTTGGCATTAAAGGATCAAGGGTACCTTTCAAGTTTTCAGTGGTTTTTGAGCTACGTGATAACAGATCAGACATTACATACAACGCTTAAATTTTTTATGCATTTATTTTATTCTTCTTTTCCAGACGATCACCTGTGACTGCGAAGCGACGCCCGCCTTCCAGCTGAAAGCTTTCAGCCAGAGAGGAGAGAAGGTCGAGGTCTCCCACTACAGGGTCAACGTTAACAGGTAACATGGAAATAATTTTATCGACACAGTACTTAATAATTTGTGTGGTCCACCCACAAGGTGGACCGACGACATCATAAAGGTAAAGCAGGAAGGCGCTGGACCAGGCCGCTACCAATCGATCATTATGGAAATCATTGGGGGAGGTCTGTGTTCAGCAGTGGACGTCCCATGGCTGAAATGATGATGATGATGATGGAGTAATAATTTTGTACCACCGAATACGCGACTTTATCTCAGTTTGACTGGAGGAGAATGCCGAATGACAACTTCGCCTTATGAAATGTGCATTTTAATTTATAAGTCATTTTAAGTTAATATATTAGTTGTAAGTTAGTCTTTTTGGATAATAAAATGAAATGGAATAAATATTTCTAACTGTAATTTGAAATAAATAAAAACATTTACAACAGAAGGTAGTACCATTGGTAGGTCTTTATCGCGCATCCTTTTTCAGAAGACATCGACTTAAATTGAATTTCTAAAGGATGAAAATAAAATAATATTTTTTTTTTGAGTTTTTATATTTCCTGTGTAGTAGTAAATTATCTTATTGTCTGACTTGAAAGAAGGAGGATTTTGGTGTTTAGATTTTGGAGATTTGGACAACTTTTCATGACACAATAGTGAAGTCCGAAAAGTACAATTTCCATCCATCCATAATATAAATAGATCTACAATTTGCTAAGTAATTTAAGTACCTAAATAAATGGGCAATACGGCTAAAAGTGTGAAATGTCCTCTAGGACCGAACTCCGAGGGGAATTCGTAATTTGTCATGGGCCCCATCAATATACCAATTCCCCAAATTACAAACATAATACACTTAGTAAAATAAAATGCCTCGTATTTTGTCATTACGTTAATTTGTTAAACGAGAATGTTAAAATTTCATTACTTTGATGTAGGTAGGAAGATAAAAAGACCAAAAACATTTTGCGGTTTTGTTTTCCCATACAAAAAATCGATAAAATCAACAGTAACATCTAACTACCTACCTATTATATTTGTATTTTACTCCCATTTATGTCGTAAAAAAAATATTTTTTACGAAACTGTCCTTGTTTGATTAATGTTTCTTAGTTTTTGTGAGTGTCACCCACCACGCATTTTAAAGATTTTTTAATCTTAATGTTTCCAATAGTGATATACAGTGTGAGTCACGATAAAGTGCACATATGAATTGAGGTAAAACTAGAACTATTTTTATCGACAAAAAAGAGGTCAAAAAATTTTTGAGTTTTTTTTTTTAAATTTTTATAGATTTTTATTTCTTTCAATTTTTGGTTTTACAAAAGTAATGCGATAGAAAATAATAAAAAGTAATAAAAACCACCGGTTATAAGGGCATTTTTTGGAGAAATTTATCAAATAACCAAAAAAACACGAATTTAAAAGCAGATTTTTTTCAAAAAGTATCATTTTTTATTATTTGTTGGCCTTTTTTGTGTATTTTATGTATTTTTTTAGTATCGCCTGTTATTTAGCATTATTATTGTTTTTATTTTATCAGGATATACCGCTTAGTTTAAAAGTTGTTACGTTTTCTTTATAATAAGTAATTGGAAGAAAAAAATTCTATGAAAAATTAAAAAAAAATCTCAAGAAATTTTTGACCTCTTTTTTGTCGATAAAAATAGGTCTAGTTTGATCTATTTTCATATGTACACTTTAACGTGACTCACACTGTATTAAAGTACTTAGTTTAAACATACGCCGGCCGTGACGTCACATCGGGCATTCCAGCGAGGTGCGGCGCGGTTAACTCGATAGGGTTTTAGGGGCTTTTCTTGCGTTACACATAGGTTTTACGCCCGTTTTCACAAACGATGCCAGCAAATTGAACGCACAGCGTTGAATAAAGCTCTGTGATTGGTGCGTGTGTCACTCTGTGCGTCCACGCGCGCCGTGAGACCTCATAGTAATGTTTGTAAATACGGGCGTTAATATGTTTTTTGTGATGATGTCCTATGTTATGACTTGACTTACTTGACTTATGGTCCTATGTCCCCTAGATGGGGCAGAGGGCGTCCACAACAGTCCTCCATCTCGTTCGGTCTTGAGCTTTTCGCTTGATCTCGCTCCAGGTTTTGCCGATCTTCTTCGCCTCGTCCGCTACAGTGCGCCGCCAAGTTTGCCTGGGTCGACCACGTTTGCGATGTCCACGTGTCCTATGTTATAAATCTTCCTATTTCTTTTTTATATCTTTCTTTTTTTCTTCCAGGTTCCGTGCCCGCCTGCACGTCACGTGTGTGACCGACAAGCTGACCGGCGACCTGAAGTGCGACGGCTGGCCCGAGGTCAAGGTGGCCCTGGCCCCCGTCGGGCCTCTCAGGCCCAATGCCACTGAGAGCAACCTGCAGACTGCTATAAGGTAAAACCATGATTAGGTATTGCAGTTACAAACGAGAGAGTTGTATTCGGAGTTCGATAAAAATCGATTCAATGAGATCACGGCTTCTATAAACGAATACCAGTACATAGAAAGGACTGATCTGAGAACTTCTCCGATCTTTCGTTCGTTCGTTTCAGCCAAATGACTGCTGTATTATAAGGTCCTGTCACCTGCCATGTTACGCATAAAAAAGGAATCCCTCAAGGATTTCCACAAAGACCGGTTCTGTGCTGCCCGCATCCAGGTACTTCCAGCGACCTTCACAAGATCGTCGGTTCACAAGTAGGAGGCCTGCTCACATTACGTCTTCCAGCCCGTGGTTGCCGCTGGAAAACTTTTCTGACACATTGCTCATTGCTCTATTCACTCGGGGAAAGCCAATGGGAAAGCTAGGATAAAATTAAAGCCCATACCTATTAAGTTCCTACAAAACTGTTCCTTTGTAGTTACATTGTCACGACTAATGCTGAATCGAGGACCTTTTCGGCATATTTTGTTCTCTGTTTACTTGTATCATATGTTAGTATTTTTATGTGTTAAATATTTTCTTCTTTCTTTCTTTTTCCAAACGGCCAATCAGTAAACCATAGCTTCAATCACACCAACGCGTGCATATCACCATCGCCGGCGCGATCATTGACTAATGACAGGTCGCGCGACCCATGACAGTCCGCGCGACCTGTCGTTGGCCTATGATCGCGCCGGCGATGGCGATTTGCACGCGTTGGTGTGGTTGAAGCTTAAGCCTATGTTTAGATTTGAACGTCCTGAGTGTGGCTGACATTAACAAATAATAACGTTCCATTTCTTGTACGTTCCAGCGACATAGTGGTGAGCGCGCTCCGCAACACGCACTTAGACTTCAACCTGTCCATGTACCCCACCTGTCCCCGACTCCGGCGGCATTTCGACACCGGCCCGCGGCTGCCGCTGCACTATGACTCTATGGTACGTGTGTTTATGGTATGAAAAAATACAAATTTGGTCCAAAGAAGCCTTTCATTTGCCGCAATTTTCTGCAGTGGATACTAAATTACTAAATGATCTGATAATGACGGTTTCCCTCCTAGTAATTGCCGTGAAGCGTTGACATTATGGTCGTGGGGATTTGAGGAATATAAATCAAATTCTCTATTTGAAGAGGGTCTTATCCTGCAGTGTAGATTAGATAGCCTAAGTAATGCTTGTTTCCACAATTAATCCCTAATCTTTAAGTAACCCCGATGTAAACAAAATACCTGTTATATATATGTGTTACCTTATGGGTCACTGAAAAATTAGGGATTGATGTTGACGCTCAGAACTCGATTCAATATCAGTCATACGAGTTAGATTCTGTCCTGTAAATGGTCTAAATGAAATTCAAACTGCTTAAAAGATTGAATCGAGTTTTCAGCGTAGTTCTGTAATATGGTAGAGCGTCCACTGGCTACCGGTAACAGGCGACTGGGAAAAACCTCCATTTGCTTTTAGTAAATTAGTATCGTGCTTCTGCAAATCCTGCAATGGAGACTAAAAGAGCTGATGATGTTGATAATGTTGACGATGACGATATTGATGATGACGATAATAATAATGGTGTAAATGATGATGAAGAGGTTGATGATGATGAATGTGTTTCAGCTCCAGCACGACCGTCAAATGTACACGTCGACGCCGAACTCGACGGCCGGCAGCGTACAGCTGCTCGGAGAGAAGCGACTGCTGGTCAAAGTCGTCGCTGCCAAGGATATTGGAGGTAATTGCGTATTTTGTTAACTATTTCTACTTTTGTAGGATGGTTATGGCAATCTATGTTTTCGCAATTTGTTCCGCCATCAGCTCGAAAAATCTGTTGACTTATAGGTAGGTATAATCTTTTGTGGTCATTAACGTGAATGTCTGTTTAACGAACGCAATTTAACGTCGAACGCGAAGGTGTCTGTTCTGAAAGTACACAACGGAACTATTGCCAGTGCCACCTCTCGTTCTCACCGCTGCAACTCCTGTGTAGCTAGGATCTACAGCTTGACCGCCAATAACCCAACCATTGAAGGTCAAGTATGTCCCGGGGGAAAGTTAAACTGTCATTGGACCCGCAACAAAATCAATCCGAAAAAAATAGAACTTCGAAGTTAAGGTGCGACTTTCCTCCGGATGACAGGTGACAAAACAAAGGCAGCTAATAGCTCGCAAGAGAGGTACTCACAATTGATGCTTATTGACCGTGGTGTGTCCTTTCCTTAAAGGTTTTCAGTTCAGTTCCGTACCGTTTCGTTCTGTCCCGTCCTGTCCCGTCCCGTTAAGTGTTTTTTTTTATGCTAGAGAAGGCAGGTAGGTATTTGACCGCAATCGCACCTGGTGTTAAGTGAGATGCAGTCTAGGATGGTACATATCTGCCCTGTAAGTGCCTATTCACTCTCGCCTTGAAAACTCCCGGATTATAGTGTTCAGGAAATACACCAGCAGGCAGCGAATTCCAGTCCCTAGTTGTTTGCATTATAAACGAGTCGTCGAAACGCTTAGTGCGAGCTGGTAGAATGTCGACAATGTAAATCAATCAGAAGTTATAAAGACACTGTTTCCAGGCAAGTCGGGCTGCATAGCGCCATACTGCGTGGTGGAGATGGACGAGCCGCCGCAGAAGAACCAGACCGCCTTCAAGAAGGACACCACCTGCCCGCAGTGGGAGGAGCACTTCCTCTTGTAAGTATATTAAATTTCTACTTTAAACGCTTCTTTACTTCTCTGAAGATGCCTATAAAGCTTATGAGTTTTACGACCTTTGAGTCATTTGTAAATGCTGAAGTTTGTGTTGATATTCTATAAAGAAGGTATACCCATGACAATGTAAACATGGCCTAAATGTCTATTGTAGGGCATTTCATTATAAAGAATGCTTTTCGTGTTTATAATATCGAATCTCTAGTTTAACACCACGTTGGGCGCCAAAATTTTGTTGCTATTTACCAAATAAAATTAATAATTTATCATACACAGCGATACATGGCAGAAATACATATATCAATAAGTGAGAGACTATGAACGATAAAATCTTTTTTTCCAATTATAATAATACTTCGATCATAGAATTAGGTACTACAACGCACGCCAGCGTCCTGACGGGCGCGCGCGTGACACTCGACTGATATAATACCCGCCGGCGGGGCGCTTCGCTGTAGGTAATTATCGGATGTACCGCGCGGAGTGAGCCAGGCCTGCTTTAGTGTTGCGATTCTAGCTACTAACAGCATCGTTCTGTTCCAGCAAGGCATTGGCGTGGAGCTGGTGCGAGCGCTGGAGACGCATCCTCCGCAGGTGTCCAACGTCTTCTGCGAGTGCGACTCCAAGGATGACGTGGTAAGTTGCTGTTTATAAAATTCCGTTAAAACTTAAAGCTTTATACGAGTATCATTTTTTATACACAACGAGGAAGCGCTTGGCCTGTATCTCACATGGTAAGTGATGATCAGGCCGAAGGTGGAAGCGAGCGTCACTCGGAATCCTCAACCACGGAGGAACTGGCTATCTTACCTCTAACTGCCGGAACACAATTACAATGCTGTTAATATAACACAAGTGTTGTTATGGTGACAGACTTGGGTAAGATGGTGGTAGCTAGCCAGGCGGACCTAGAACAAGCCCTACCACCAACCAAACCGAACAGAAAAATCTGCCCCCACTGGGAATCGAACCCGGGACCTCGGCGTCTGAAGCAGGTGGTCTTACCACTAGACAGAGGTGGATTTCTGCTTTCTGTTCTGTGGTCCACCCCAGGATTTTGGCCTAACCGATTTGAAGATGATATTGATAGTACTTACTCATGATCCAGTCGCAACCCCCCATCCCCCTTCGTATCATGTCATGTCAGGGGCCAGGCCCCTAAAAATTTCCCCTATACGCCAATACTTACTTGAACCACATGAGTAAAGAAACTGCATGTGATTGAAGACCAAACAAAACAATTTAAAATAATCGCTTAGCTAATACATTCGACATACAATAATGATGTCATTCCCATCAATAAAAGAGGATGACACACTGCAGTGTCACAACAATACAAAGGCTGGGTTGCACCATCATACTTTAACTTTGACAAACGTCAAAAATCTTTCAGACTCCATACAAAAAACACCGGTTATCGTTGTAAGGATTAAAGTTAGATGGTGTAACTCAGCCTAAATGACATTATGACACAAATTCACTTACGACAATCACAACATCCTCCTTTAAATTGTTGTATCCCGTCGTAACTGTTAAAGCCATTTAGTTAACATACTGTTTGTAAACTAACAATGTATTATAACGTAAAATAAACTACTAGTTATGCGTTGTGGATCTAAAAAAGCTCACAAAAAAGTTTACAAGTTGAATAGGCCTCCGTAGTCCATTGGATAAGAATAATAAATAATCCATAATATAAAAATGAATCGCAAAATGTGTTGGTAAGCGCATAACTCAACAATGCCTGGACCAATTTTACCAATTCTTTTTTTTTTTGTTGATCCAAGAATGGCTTTTACGCCAAGAAACATCCGATTTTTCGGATCCGAAATCTAGTATACTCGTAATAATAAAATAATTTATTTACTTTTGACTTAGATCTGGGGTTTGAGTTTCAGTTGGGACATACAGAGCTTTATATAGTTTCATTTGGAAAACTGTTGACGCATCAGAATTCTTTTTTTACTTTAATAAAGCTTTAAAAAGTTTAATATTCATTTAATAAAATAATAAATTAATGATTTGACACTATGAATGGACACATTTAACAGAATCGCTTGAAAATATTACTCCACTGTATTGCAGCTGAAAGCTCGTTCTGTGTCAAAAAAAATAACCAAAAAACATTTCAACCCTTAGGGGACACCCGGATTTGAACCGGGGACCTATCGATCTGCAGTCGATTGCTCTGCCACTGAGCTATATCCCCTGTTGAGTGAACACTCCAATAATAATTAACTTTTAAAAAAAATAAAACCGACTTCAAGTGCGTGAACACAAAAAAAAACTAAAAATTGAAAATATTGCGTATAAAAAAGTTCATCCCCAATTTTCTACCCTTGGGGATTGTTTTTTCTATTATTAAATTTAAATGGGACCACCCTTGAGGTATTACCTATACGCAGAAAAAAGATTTGTTCAAATCGGTTCATAATTGGCGGAGTTATCGCGTAACAAACATAGAAAAAAAAACATACGGGTCGAATTGAGAACCTCCTCCTTTTTTGAAGTCGGTTGAAAACAAAATCATATTCTAATGACAAATCACTATCTTTGTGTAGGTGGCTCCCTACTATCACTTGTTTTTTTTATACTGAGCTTTATCTCTTTGTAGATAGTAATTAAAATTGAGTGCCTCCTAACTGTCATAAATGAGATAAATCTGTAAGTATACCTATTGGATGGAGATCGACTCTTTCTTCTAATTTAGAGGTCCTAGGTTCGATTCCTTGAGGATCAGATATTGATTTTAAGAAAAATATTAAGGTTTTTATTGGGAATTCGACTTTCTTGAAGTGAATATCGTTTAGAAGCGAGCTAAGTACCTAATTGATATGACTTTTATCAGGTTTCATTAACATCAATTTTTTTAAGACTTATAAATTCATAAAGAAGAATACCCGCGATTTCGTCTAGTTCTGGCGCTGGGTGCCAGCCGCTACTAGGCTTATGTTCAGCAGTGGACGTCTTGTGGGTGAAATGATGATGATGATGAATGGATAATCAGCCCATATGGGACTATTCCCACCACTGCAACTCCTGTGTAAACAGAGGCAGCTTCATCATCAATAAGAACCCAACCAGTGACGGCCATGTTTGTCCCGGGGAAAGTTAAACTGTCATTGGACCCCCGAAAAGAAATAGGAACTACACATCAAACAGAGAACGGGCAGCAGCGCTCTCTGAAAAACATCAATCTTTTGAACTGCTATCTCCAACCCGCCTGCCAAGCGTGGGGATTATGGCAAAACCCTCCACTATAGTGGAGGAGGCTCATAGTCTAGCAGTAGACTGTAAAGGGCTGTTGATGATGATGATGATGAAAGAAATGAATCAGAAGAAGGTAGGAACAGTTCGAATTTAAATATTATTTAGGCATACCTACCTAAGGGATGAAAATAGGAGGAGTTTACATACCTATTTAGATAAGTATTCCTATTTATTTTGTTTTACTTCTGTTCCAGACGATCACCTGTGACTGTGAGGCGACGCCCGCCTTCCAGCTGAAAGCTTTCAGCCAGAGAGGAGAGAAGGTCGAGGTCTCTCACTACAGGGTCAACGTTAACAGGTAACATAGAAATAATTTTATCGACACAGTACCTACTTAATAATTTGTGTAATCCACCCACAAGGTAGACAACGACATTAAGGTAGCAGGAAGGCGCTGGACCAGGCCGCAACCAATCGATCAACATGGAAATCAATGGGGGAGGGGGGGCTATGTTCAGCAGAGGACGTCCTATGGCTGAATGATGATGATGATGATGGAGTAATAATTTTGTACCACCAAATACGCGACTTTATCTCAATTTGGCCCTAAGGTTGACTGGAGGAGAATGCCGAATGGCATTAACTTCGCCTTATGAAATGTGCATTTTAATTTGAAATAAAAAAAAAACATTTAGAACAGAAGGTAGTACCATTGGTAGGTCTTTATCGCTCATCCTTTTTCAGAAGACATCGACTTAAATTGAATTTCTAAAGGAATTTCTAATTATCTTTTTTTAGAGTTTTTACATTTCCTGTGTAGTAGTTAAATTATCTTATTGTCTGACCTGAAAAAAGGAGGAATTTGGTGTTTAGATTTTGGTGATTTTTGTGGACAACTTTTCGAAAAGTACAATTTCCATCCATCCATAATATAAATTGATCTACAATTTGCTAAGTAAGTAAGTACCTATAATAAATTGGGCAATACGGCTAAAAGTGTGAAATGTCCTTTAGGACCGAACTCCGAGGGGAATTCGTAATTTGTCATGGGCCCCATCAATATACCAATTCCCCAAATTACAAACATATAATACACTTAGTAAAATAAAATGCCTCGTATTTTGTCATTACGTTAATTTGTAAAACGAGAATGTTAAAATTTCATTACTTTGATGTAGGTAGGAAGATTAAAAGACCAAAAACATTTTGCGGTTTTGTTTTCCCATATAAAAAATTGATAAAATCAACTGTAGTAACTACCTACCTATTAATTTTGTATTTTTACCCTAATTTATTTAGAAAAAATATTTTTTACAAAATTGTCTTTGTTTGATGAATGTTTGCACTCACAAGTTACGCATTTTAAAGTTTTTGTAACCTTAAAAAAATAGTATCCATAATGTTGTATAAACAAAGTACCTAGTAAATACTTAAACATACCCGGTCAAGTTAACTGCGCACCAGGCGACCGTGACGTCACATCGACGCTCTGGTACGTGCGAGAGAGAATCGAATACCAGCGAGGTGCGCAGTTTTAACTGTTAACTCGATCGGGTTTCAGGTGCTTTTCTCACAAACGATACTTACTTAAGTGAAACAGCAAATCGAACGCACAGCTCTGTGTTTGGTTCGTGTGTCACTCTGTGCGTCCACGCGCACTGTGGAACCTTATAGTAACTTAATGTTTGCGAATACGGGCGTAAAGTGTTTTCTTTGTAATGTCCCACTGTTAAAATCTTTGTTTCTTTCAGGTTCCGTGCCCGCCTGCACGTCACGTGTGTGACGGACAAGCTGACCGGCGACCTGAAGTGCGACGGCTGGCCCGAGGTCAAGGTGGCCCTGGCCCCCGTCGGGCCTCTCAGGCCCAACGCCACTGAGAGTAATCTGCAGACTGCTATAAGGTAAAACCATGATTAGGTATTGCAGTTACAAACGAGAGAGTTGTGATTCGGAGTTCGATAAAAATCGATTCAATGAGATCACGGCTTCTATAAACGAATACCAGTACATAGAAAGGACTGATCTGAGAACTTCTCCGATCTTTCGTTCGTTCGTTTCAGCCAAATGACTGCTGGATTATAAGGTCTAATACCTGCCATGTTACGCATATTTTTAAGACTGTAAACCCTTGAAAAGGAGGCTGACAATAGTGACTGAGTTTCTTGCGCTGCTTCTTCTCAGCACTGGCCCATTTATTGTCCCGAAGCAGTGGTAGGGTTAATATTGGGACGTGTAAAAGTGCTATTTAACAGCCTATTTGCAAAAATAAATGAGTTTTATGAGTTTCATAAAAAAGGCCTCCCTCAAGGATTTCCACAAAGACCGATTCTGTGCTGCCCGCATCCAGGCATACTTCCTGCAACCTTCACCAGATCGTCGGTTCACTAGTAGGAGACCTGCCTGCCCACAATACGTCTTCCAGCCCGTGGTTGCCACTGGAAAACTTTTCTGCCACATTGCTCATTGCTCTATTCACTCGGGCAAAGCTATAGGATACAATTAAAGCCCGTATTATGTTCCTGCAAAACTGTTCCTGTGTAGTTACATTGTCACGCTCACGACTAATGCCGAGTAGAGGACTTTTTCGGCATATTTTGTTCTCTGTTTACTTGTATCATATGTTAGTATTTTTATGTGTTAAATATTTTCTTTTTTCTTTTCCAAACGGCCAATCAGTAAACCATAGCTTCAATGACCCATGACAGTCCGCGCGACCTGTCATTGGCCTATGATCGCGCCGGCGATGGCGATTTGCACGCGTTGGTGTGGTTGAAGCTTAAGCCTATGTTTAGATTTGAACGTCCTGAGTGTGGCTGACATTAACAAATAATAACGTTCCATTTCTTGTACGTTCCAGCGACATAGTGGTGAGCGCGCTCCGCAACACGCACTTAGACTTCAACCTGTCCATGTACCCCACCTGTCCCCGGCTCAGGCGGCATTTCGACACCGGCCCGCGGCTGCCGCTGCACTATGACTCTATGGTACGTTTGTTTATGGTATGAAAAAATAAAAATTTGGCCCAAAGAAGCCTTCATTTGCCGCAATTTTCTGCAGTGGATACTAAATGATCTGATAATGATGATTATGACGGTTTCCCTCCTAGTAATTGCCGTGGAGCGTTGACATTATGGTCGTGGGGACTTGGGGAATATAAATCAAATTCTCTATTTGAAGAGGGTCTTGTCCTGCAGTGCAGATTAGATAGCCTAAGTAATGCTTGTTTCCACAATTAATCCCTAATATTTAAGTAACCCCGATGTAAACAAAATACCTGTTAGGTATATGTGTTACCTTATGGGTCACTGAAAAATTAGGGATTGATGTTGACGCTCAGAACTCGATTCAATATCAGTCATACGAGTTAGATTCTGTCCTGTAAATGGTCTAAATTAAATTCAAACTGCTTAAAAGATTGAATCGAGTTTTCAGCGTAGTTCTGTAATGTGGTGGAGCGTCCACTGGCTACCGGTAACAGACGGGGAAAAACCTCCATTTGCTTCTAGTAAATTAGTATCGTGCTTCTGCAAATCCTGCAATGGAGACTAAAAGACCTGATGATGTTGATAATGTTGACGATGACGATATTGATGATGATAATAATAATGGTGTAGATGATGATGAAGAGGTTGATGATGATGTATGTGTTTCAGCTCCAGCACGACCGTCAAATGTACACGTCGACGCCGAACTCGACGGCCGGCAGCGTACAGCTGCTCGGAGAGAAGCGACTGCTGGTCAAAGTCGTCGCTGCCAAGGATATTGGAGGTAATTGCGTATTTTGTTAACTATTTCTACTTTTGTAGGATGGTTATGGCAATCTATGTTTTCGCAATTTGTTCCGCCATCAGCTCGAAAAATCTGTTGACTTATAGGTAGGCTAATCTTTTTCGGTCATGTGCTTTTGTGGTCATTAACGTGAATGTCTGTTTAACGAACGCAATTTAACGTCGAACGCGATGGTGTCTGTTCTGAAAGTACACAACGGAACTATTGCCACCTCTCGTTCCCACTGCTGCAATTCCTGTGTAGCCAGGATCTACAGCTTGACCCCCAATAACCCAACCAGTGAAGGTCAAGAAGGGGAAAGTTAAACTGTTAATTAATCAGAAGAAAATAGGAGGACTTCAAAGTTAAGGTTTGACTTTCCTCCAGTGTGCCTACCATGAGTTTACGTTAGGTGAGTTCGCTAGCGAATACGTCAAAAAATTCTATGAAGGTCTTATTTCTTGAAAGTAGCCACTAGGGGCGCTGCACAATATGTCATACATTTAAATGTCATTTTTTTACGCAGTCGCTAGCGAGCACACCTAACGTAAACTCATGGTAGGCACACAGTACCTCTAGTAGGAAAAACTATTTATAGCCGCCCTAGGGGGCGCTGTTTAATTTTTCATACAAAATTTTTCGATGACACTTTGAATACGCAACGAAACGAACTCGAAAGTTTTTCCTACTAGAGGTACAGATGACAAGTGTCAAAACAAAGGCAGCTAATAGCTCACAAGACAAGAGACCCACAATAATTGATGCATATTGTCCGTGGTGTGTCCTTTCCTTAAAGGTTTTCAGTTCAGTTCCGTACCGTTTCGTTCTGTCCCGTTCCGTTCCGTCCCGTTAAAAGTGTTTTTTTTTATGCTAGAGAAGGCAGGTATTTGACCGCAATCGCACCTGGTGTTAAGTGAGATGCAGTCTAGGATGGTACATAATTATCTGCCCTGTAAGTGCCTATTCACTCTCGCCTTGAAAGCGCTCGGATTATAGTGTTCAGGAAATACAGCAGCAGGCAGCGAATTCCAGTCCCTAGCTGTTCGCATTATAAACGAGTCGTCGAAACGCTTAGTGCGAGCTGGAAGATTGTCGACGATGTAAATCAATCAGAAGTTATAAAGACACTGTTTCCAGGCAAGTCGGGCTGCATAGCGCCGTACTGCGTGGTGGAGATGGACGAGCCGCCGCAGAAGAACCAGACCGCCTTCAAGAAGGACACCACCTGCCCGCAGTGGGAGGAGCACTTCCTCTTGTAAGTATATACCAACTAAAGTTGCCAACGTAATCTGAACCTTATTCACTTGTGATAAGGTTGAATTTTGAACTTTTTCAATGAACATAGGATAGGTCGATAAGCCTGTGTGCTATAAAGGATTAACAGCCGCCGAAATGCACACTTTTATTGCAGTTCACCATAAGCCAATGATAAATGCCAAAATCTGTAAGCATTTTTGTGTTTAGAACAATATTTAACACCACGTTGGGCGCCATTATTCAATTGCTGCTTACCACAAGTAAGTAATCTGTGGTTTTGCCTACAGTTTGATAAGGTCTGAGTGTGAAACCAGTAAAACGCTATTTCCCAATGTTCAAATTCAAATTGAAATTATTTATCAAACTTGCGATACAAAGTTCAAATACCAGTAGGGCGTCAATATTAATTTCTTACTTACGACGTACTAGGTAAACTGTGGTTTTGCCTACAGTGTGATAAGGTAGAAATCTGAGTGTGAAACCATTAAAATTATTTCCCAATATCAGCATTTACTACTAAGTTCTAATACCACGTTGGGCGCCAATTTCCTATAGCTTTCCTATACATACATACTAAGTTATTTGTGGTTTTACCTACAGTAAGATATTAAGGTAGAAATCTGAGTGTGAAATTAACACAACTCTAGGTAGGTATTTCTCAAAATTATCAATCTTGCGACACCAAGTTCTAAACACCACGTTGGGCGCCAAGTTTTAAATAGAACATTTTTGTACTCATAATAATTGTCGTTCTTCCAGCGACCTGTCTCCGCAGACAGCGGAGCTCCTGTTCGAGGTGTACGACCGCACTGGCCCCCCCTCCCCCGGCGGAGGTTCTACACAACATAGGTTTGTATTGAGTTATTTGAGTTCTTGAGTGGAGTGGAGTGACTCGTCAAGCGTAGTGGACGTTCTTCAGCTAGATAGAGTGAAGATTATGAGAAGTCACTAGCAGAAGTAGCAGAAGCATGAAGCGCATAATGGTCGCCGATGTCTAGCAGAGGACTGCTATAGGCTAATGATAAGTAATGATAATGATTAATAATTTAGTAAAACACGGTAGTTAATTGTAATCGTTTTTAGTACTTTTTTTTTCTAAAAATAAAAAAAAAAAAAATTGTTTACGTAAACCCTGTCTTTGAAATCTGGAAGTGTAGCATCTATAGGTCTTGTCCTTAACTCAGTGCTGCCTGAGGTACATGGGAGCGGCACGAGAGGGTGTTTTTGTAACGTCAGACGTCAGCAAAACTTCAGATGTAGGTACTTAAGATTTGTTGTATGCTATGTCACAGACCCTAAAAACTTATAGTTCATGTAACTTGTCGAAATAACGACTTTGACTTTAACCTTTCATTAAATTTCGGATTCGACACTCCCACTTAGACCCTCGTATCAGTAGACTCTAACTTTAATTCTGCTGCTTATGAAAAGTCATAATTAACTTCTTGCTAGACTTTACTATAAAAGAAAACTCTTTTTCCAGGTTCCTCGGTCTAGGCCTGGTGGGAATAGACGAGCTGCTGGCCGCGCCGTCCCAGCGGCAACAGATCGCGCTGCAGACCCGGCCCATGGAGGAACACGACGTGTCCGGGACACTCACTGTGGAGGTATGGGACACTTTATAAGAAAGGGACAGAAGCGTACTAGGAAACCAATGGCTCTGGTGTAAAAATATTGTTTGTTTTTTCTGAATGAGGGCTATCGTTTTAGCGCTCACCAGTTAGCGCCACTGTAGAGTAAGGTCCTGTCACTTGCTAGTAGCGAAGACAGTGGCGCCAACTGGTGAGCGCTAAAGTGGTAGGAGGACTATCGCATTTGCACTCATCAAGATGGCGCCACTGTAGAGTAAGGTCCTGTCAATCGCCAGGGGTGCCAACTGTTAAGTATAAAAACGATAGCCCTCATTCTACTAATATTGTGTCATAAAGTTGCCATAATTAATGTCGCGTTGCATTTTTATTGATTTTCCGAAGGTGTGACTTTTAAAAATTTGCATTCAATACGAGGTTCGGTGGTCTGGTGGCCCCATATGCCATGAGGCACCGGTACACTGCTCTATGTAGCCTTCCCATAGCCTTTGATGGAGGGCCAGTAGCAAGCATATCAGAATAATGAGGGCTATCGTTTTTATACTTAACAGTTGGCACCCCTGGCGATTGACAGGACCTTACTCTACAGTGGCGCCAACTTGATGAGTGCAAATGCGATAGTCCTCCTACCACTTTAGCGCTCACCAGTTGGCGCCACTGTCTTCGCTACTAGCAAGTGACAGGACCTTACTCTACAGTGGCGCTAACTGGTGAGCGCTAAAACGATAGCCCTCATTGGGATAAGTCACAAAAGCTTAGACGCTCGCCTGAAAGACTAGACAAAGTTTCAACAGTTGTTATTCCGGAATCTTCTTTGCTCCAGATATTTCCTTATAAATAGTTGCTCCTACTTCGCTCGGTGAAACGTTACCGGAATGAAAAATTATAACAAATAAGTACCTATACGAATATTTTACGACTCGAGACCGCGCGTTAATACAATTTATTCACGAATCTACCCGTTTTGTTCCAGTTCCTGTTCATAGAAGGCGCCGATATCCCCGACCTAGGCTCGCGGCCGTTCAAGATCAAGGAGAGCCTGCGGACGCTGTCCCCGCAGGGACACATGACCACCACAACCAAGACTGTCTTCAAGCAGAATGGTAAGACTGGCAACAAATTGTATATTGGAGTCTTAGGCCTGCTATACACGGACAGCTTGAAGCAGTTAGGTAGCTTCAAGATGCGACTGCATAGCAAACTACGGAAACAGTGTAACTGCTCGAGAGGTTCCGTGTATGTGTGTACGTAGTGTACTGTAGTTTGCTATGCAGTCGCAGCTTGAAGCTGTCGGATACTAGCTGCTTCAAGCTGTCCGTGTATGGCGGGCCTTAGGCCCAGAACACACGGTGAAAGGCAACTGCAACGAAACTGAAACTTCTAGTTACTTTTGAGTTGCATCTAAGTTTCTGCCATAGCGTTTCGTTTCACCATGTGTTCTGGGCCTTACGCCTGTATTCACAAACATTACTATGAGGTCTCACAGTGCATGTGGACACAGGGTGACACACGAACCAATCACAGAGCTCTATTCAATGCTGTGCGTTCGATTTGCTACTTCACTTAAGCAAGCATCGTTTGTGAATATACGGGTGTTAGTAACACCACGTTGGACGCCAATTTTATATTGCGTTGCAATCATTTTGTTTAACTCTCCCGGGAGAAACTTGGCCTTCACTGGTTGGGTTTTTATTAGCGGTCAAGCTGTAGACTCTGGCTACACAGGAGTTGCAGTGGTGGGAACGAGAGGTGGGATTAGTTCCTTTTTACTAGGGATCATTCAAACCAGGGATGTTACGGAGCTTCGACACCGGTTCCGTTAAGTCGGAACTTCCGATTATTATTACACCTTCGGTTCCGACTTCGGCTCCGACACTTTTAAATCGGAGGTTTTAATCGGAGGTCGAAGCATAACAGCGGCGACGGCGGCCTGTGTCGACTGTTAAGAAATAGATTGGACGGAGACAAAGCTTCAAAGCTTTTATTCGTAAAGTATAATACACTACTTTTGGAGTCAATTCATTTGATTTAATTTGTTTTAAAGCTTTTGTTCATTTAATATAATGTGTGTTCTTGTTTATTTGGAAATAATATGCAATTTTTTTTTCATTGTTTGTGTTTTATTTTATAATTTAAAAAAAAATGATTAAAGATTTGTCTGTGAATAAAATTCTTTCTCATGCCACCACTTCTGACCCTGCCTCCGACTCCGATTCCGATAAATCAAATTTAAAAACTCCGACTCCGACTTCGGTTCCGATAAAACTACCTCCGTTACATCCCTAATTCAAACCACACTTTTCATGATGATTACAAACTAGGAGCTATACCGACAGCCTTTCAAATCCGACATTTATCTTTCCCAGGTCATGACAGCAATCAGCTGACGGAATCGGCGCTGCGAGAGCTGGAGCTCAGCCCTACTAGCGCTGCCAATAAGTCCACACTCATCATACACTCCGTACAGAGGGTAGGCATACATAATTATAGACAGGTAGCCTGATCCAGGGGGGACAGTTCTGATAAGGGATTGGGAAGAGAAATCTAGAGGGGGTAGTGTGATCTAAAGCCCGGACTGTGAGCACGTAGAATTTTGTCCAATGACCCCAAGCTACGACTGTGCGACCGGCGCCCGCAGTGAGTGTGCGAGCGCGACAGCAATATAATTACGCGCGAGCGATAAGGGTAAGGGGCGTAGCTTGGGGTCATTGGGCAAAATTCTACGTGCTCGCAGACCAGACTATAGAGAGTATAATATGGGGGTGGGGCAGTCTAGAGGGGGATGGCTCATCATACACTCCCTGCAGAGGGTAGGCACACATTAGAGACATAGATAGCCTGATCTAAGAGGGATGCAGTCTGCTCCAGAGGGGAGAGGGTAGTCTGGTCTAGAGGGGGTTGGCTGATCCAGAGGGGGATAGTCTGTTCTAGGAGGGGTTAGTCTGATCTAGAGGGGGTAGGGATACCTTTGTTGGGATAGGTGTACCAGGGGAATTTGATTCCAGGGGGTAAGGGGGCAGTCTAATCCAGGAGGGAGTAGTCTTTAGAAGTACGTATGTATGGTATTTTAGAAAGGGTTTAAGATTCTAAATAACTAAACGTAAGGTATCAGAACAGATATTCTTAGACTAGGTATTTGTGTTTTTTATTAAAAACTTAAATTTCGTTAGTTTAACTCTGTGAGTGTGAGAGTTCGTGTGTGAAAGGAGTGATTGTATTTGTCCACCCCCATAATTAATTGTGTGATATCATAATCTTGTAAAAATCGTTTGAAAACGATTTATTCATTGCCTAACTGTATTGTAAAATAGGTTTTATTATAATGTCATTTTAACACTGTCTGGTGGTAACTTTGAAACATTTAAGTATTTCCCTTATCTACTTTTTTTTTATTTTCTTCACTTATTTTTGTTTTTTTTTTGTTTCATTGTTGCAATGGTGTCTCAAATTTACCACCAAAGAGTAAAGAGTGATCGTGTTAACGTATTTTTGTTTTTTTTTTTTCATCCGCGTGGTGCATGACATGAAATTATAGGAGCCGAAGAAATCTATAAAGGTGGGTTCATATTCATACTTAATTAATAACGATTGGGTCTTTTTATCGAAATAAATAATATAAATTATTTTAATTTTAATATCTTTTTATCGATAAAAAGTATCCAACTGTATTTTTGTGTTGGTAAAATTGCATTTTAATACAGTCCCTTTTGTACAGAACTAAAAGCCTAGCTAGTTTTTCCAGCATGTTCCATGCCCTAGTTTAGTCTATCATTTTGGATGTCATTTCACTGAGTTTTTTTATTCTTATCAGATCTTTTTCTTGAATCTTCTAATTTTATGAGGGAGAAAAAGGTGATGTAGGTACTTCTCAATATTAGCATTCTCTATTTCCAACAGCTCTTCCTGTCATGATGAGAGAACGGAGCTTTTTAGTGCCATGTCACAAAAATGAATTAAATTTTAAAAGTAGTTAATCCAATTCCTAGTAAAATGACGTCCAATTGTGTGTTGTTTGTTTTACACTAACATTCCAAAACTCTCACAAAAAGGTTGAACTAACCGATTGCGGCAAATTCGTCGAAGTCGAACGGGAGTTCATAGACAAGGAGGCCCAAGAGAAACCCATAGAGGAGGTAGAGGAGGGTGTGAAACAGAAATCGGTCACCCCCAACCAATCTCCAGGAAAAAGTGTGAGGATAAAAGAAAATGGCGACAAAATACCTGAGAACGGAGAAGCGGTGAGTTGCTAGCCGTTGATAGCTACACTTTTCTGACTTGGTGGTGGGAAAAGGAACTATAATAAATACATAATGTTGTGGGTTAAATTCAATAATTTATTTGCTAGAATACACATAATTAAAAAAGCGACACCTAGTTGAATTTTTTTCCTGCTCCTTAAAACAAAGAAATATCTATAGCAGAATCGATTTCACGGTCTCATGGAGCGAAATACCTTACTTAGTTTACATACTATCGGCCACAGAGTTAACTATCCATTTCCGTTTTTTCTCTCGCTCTCGTCAAATGGTGATTCTTTGCGATAGAACGAGACGACATGACTGGCAATGGGCAGTTAACACTGTTGCCGATAGTACGAAAAGAGAGATCTAGTTAACACTTTGGTGTACTTAACCACTGAGATAGAAAAGTCAGTAGCTATGATCTACAGTTGAAATATCATTTTAACTCAGAATCATTTTAAGTACTTTTTTAAGAATTCAAAGGGTATCAATTACATTTACGAATTTACATAAATGAATCCTAAAGGTAATCACCTTGATATTTCAACTTAACGGCATTTTTATATTGTGTCGTTTTAAAAAATAATTTATTAATTAACTAATAGTTATGCGCATGACTTCACTTTATTCTTGTAAATCTGGTAAGACGCACATATTATTTTGAAACGATTTATTTATTTAAGTATTTATATCGCATATTATTATACAATTTATATTTGTTTGTAATTTTATTACTACCCTACTAGATAATACAGAGCACAGCATAAATAAAGCACAAGTTTTTTGAATTTTAAGGTAGCAGTTCTGTAAATAAACGTCTCGTAAAACAAAACAGAACTGACACCCATCTATTACACTTTTTTCATTGTTTATACTTTATTTTTACATAGAAATAACTATGTAATAAATGTAAATTAGAAATTATTTTAACATTATTAAAGATATAGGTAAGTAGATCAGCATTAAAAAAAAAAATTGTTTATATGAAAAAAACATTTTTTTCCAAACAACGGTCGTTGTAAATTAAACCCTACTGAACTGAACATAGCGTTGACAATCCCACAGCAAGGGGACTACGTGAACCGAGAGAACGCGCCCCCCGAGCCCGCCCCCCGCCAGAAGAGAAGGAGAGACTTCTTCGGCACCATCAAGAGAAGGTAACTACTTATTAATTACTTAAATAATCCATAAACTTATACACTTTCCTTCAAAGTAACTCTTAGACATTCATTTTATGAGGTCACAGCCGTGTAGACAATTGTGCCTTTAAAAACATGACACAATATCGTAAAATGATATTCTATAATCAATATTTCACTGGCGCCCAACGTGGTTTTTCATTGACGCCCAACGTGTTTTTTCAGTGGCGCCCAACGTGGTATGTCAGTGCAACCTAACGTGGTATTTTATTACCACTTAACCTGGTGTTCTATTGGTGTGTCCAATGTGGTGATTGATTGCGCTCAACATATTGTTTCACTGGCGCCCAACGTGTTGTTTCACTGGCGCCCAATGTGTTGTTTCACTAGCGCCCAACGTGGTGTCCAGTTAACGTCAAATAGCTCATGACATTCAAAATGGCCAAAAATTTGACAACACAACCTTATTTCAATTGTAACAAAGACGTGTTGCGAACTTTTTATTTACTTTGGGTCTTACAAACTATTTGACACTGACTGTTCAACATGATTGGCGCCCAACGTGGTGTTTCACTGGCGCCCAACGTGGTGTTTTCAAAACAAAAAGGACTTATCTAGGGGCATAGTTCTAACCATTTATTACTTATTTCCTTAGACTGGGTCGCTCCCGCACTCGCGGCGCGTCGCTTGACCTTCCAGACTCGGACATAGACAACCAGAGTCGCATACGCAGCGTCAGCGCTGAGAGAAACAGCCATGGTAAGTGTTGAATTTAAGAATGGTTTTGGATTTTTTACGACTTCGGAGGATAATAAAGGCACTGATCTGTCATAACAACAGAGCAAAACTTTCATTAGCACGGTCTCCATGGTAGAGCATACACAATATTCATGTTTTTTTAACTTATTGGTGTTACCAACAGAGGTGCCTCTTGAACCGACCTTATGCTTCAACCACACCAATGCATGCAGATCGCCATCGCCGGCGCGAACACGGCGCGATCATAGAGAAATGACAGGTCGCGTGAACTGTCATGGGTCGCGCAACCTGTCATTGGCCTTTGATCGCGCCGGTGGTGTGGTTGAAGCTTTAAGTTTGTTATTTTTAATTATCTCCGGACAGCCCATCGCTTTTATCTAGCCTAGGTAAACTTCTAGGTTTAAACTATAATATTAAACTTATCCCTTTTATACTTTAAATGTATTACTGCAGTAGGTAAGCATGATGATAAAAATAATTTCAAGTATCTGATTATTGATTGTATTTTACATTTATTTTCCAGAAAAAGCCTTATCCGTCCCCAATAGAAACGTATATTCGGCCGGCGCGTCGCCCGCGCAATCCGGCGACGAATCGAGGACTTCCAGAAGGTACGGTCTTGTCCATACTCCTTGTCATTCAGGAATTGGCTGCTATTTGATCAAATTATTCTTGTATGGTCTCTATAGGGGGATGTGTTCTATTACTTGAGTGCAATATTGGATGCATAATATGCCAGCGAAAAAAAACTTGTAGGTACACATAATACTGGCATGTTTGTACAAATATTTGCCATATCTCTTTGACTAAAGTAAATGATAAACCTTGTAACCTTATACTAGAGTTAGTTACCAGTGATGACTTTTGCTTCAATTACGTAAATATTTTACAGAGTTTAAAAATATTCACAAAAATAGATCAAAAATCAACTGGGGGTACTTTTCTTGTCAGAAAAATCTTCTTTTTAAATACTTATTATTTTATTTGGTATTTGAAATTATATTCTCTGGTTATTATTTATAAATATATAAATAAAATATTTTTGCTGTGGCATGGCAAGGCTACATTATACACCAATAATTTTATTTATTTATTCTAACTTATATAAATAAATAGTAGTTTTACTAACTGCTTTTAACTTTAAATAATGCTGTCTTGCCATAAAAAATAATTCAAATACATTTTAAAGCTTAATATCCTCTGTAATAAAAACAAATGAAAATTCTTCTTTTTACCTTTTTTGAAGAAGAATAAAAAGGTTTTATATTATTACTGAGGGTATTTAACGAGTGGATATTATATTAGCATAATTAATTGAGCATTTTCTCTTTTTTTCATCTACCAACACTCACAACTGCTGGGGGTAAACGCACTGCAATCTGGTAACACTGGTTTTTCTTACTAATGGTTCTACTTTTTAATAAAACTACGCTCGAATGATTCGCTTTATTTTACTTTTCAATCTTTCGCATGTCTGTTTTACAAATTATTTCATGAATTTTGATTTTAATATCATTATTATATTTCTTTTTCAAATGCTTGTCTCTGATTTTGCACTCGCTGTTATTTACAATCCTTTTGTCATTTATTATAATGAATACTTTTGCACTACATTTCCCGCCACAAAAATCATTCTTCAATATTTCTCTTTTGATCTACCAAAATTCCATTCCATCTGATTCCATAAACTTCAATCCGAACCACACCTTTCCAAACGACCTCAATCCACCTACCCCTAAATCTCAATCCATTCCACGTAACCCCAATCCATTCCACGTAACCCCAATCCATTCCACATAACCCCAATCCATTCCACGTAACCCCTATCCATTCCACGTAACCCCAATCCATTCCACGTAACCCCAATCCATTCCACGTAACCCCAATCCATTCCACGTAACCCCAATCCGTGCAACAAAATGTAACCCAAAAGGTCCTCTCTCAGCGAAGTGTCCGGATTCAGTACGGCGTCCGCCCGGACGTTTATCCATGAAGCATCTACCCTGGTGCTGGAGACCATAGAGGCTGGCATCAAGAAGCACTACCTGGTTCCCCTGACTGTGGCGCAGAGGTCCCGGTGGCGACGGAAGGGCGTCAAGCTCCATATTTACAACGAGCACACGTTTATCGCTAAACATCTGAGCGGGTGAGGAATGATTTTGGATAAATTATGTTTTGTATATGTCATAGTCAAAGGTCGATATGTAGTCTCTTCGCGGAATGACTGGTCTATCCTAGGTTTGACCAAGGCCTTCAGGCAAACCCCGAAGTGAATTCTCATTTCGGCCTTTGACTAAGTCAAACCTAGAAGTGCCTCAACTGTTCAGTCAAACGTCGAAACTATAATAATCTGTTTCGGGCTTTGCCTAGTCAATCCTAGAAACGACTAGCAGACTCGGTCAAAAGTAGACGGCAAATAGAAAACCANGCGATTTATTTGATGCCGAGTGTATATTAGTTGTAACACCATATTGGGCGCCAATATTCTATTGTTATTTACCAAATATTAAATATCTATGGTTTACCTACATAGCGATACATAGAAGAAATGTAAGTGTGAGGCAATGATCGAATAAATCTCTATTTCCCAATATTATCAGCGTACCTACTACTAAGTTCTAATACCACGTTGGGCGCCAAGTTTCAAATTCCAATGTTTACTCATAATCTCTTGTCTTCCAGCGACCTGTCTCCGCAGACAGCGGAGCTCCTGTTCGAGGTGTATGACCGCACTGGCCCGCCCTCCCCCGGCGGAGGTTCTACACAACATAGGTTTGTATTGAGTTATATGAGTTCTTGAGTGGAGTGGAGTGACTCGACATGCATGACCTTACATGTAATGCTCGTAGTACCGTCCACACGTAGAATTCAAGTTACATAATAGACATGTTGACACCATCAATCAATTGACGTACTTTTTAAAACTGTCAAAACGAAATTCTTCCATACATTTTGTATGGCACTACAAGCAAGTGACATCACTATTTTTTCAACTCAATTAAACTACTTTTTTCAATTACAATGCGAACAAAAATCGTAATTTACAGGTAATTTAAAATTAATTAAGTTTTTAAGACCAGAATGAAGGGTCTTCTTAAAAAAGTTGTGGTTTTGAATTAATGGGGTATGGTGTCAAACTGTCTATGAATTACTTTACTTTTACTTTTCAAAATGTGGTTGTGTGTGTGATGACACGGTGGATTACATTACACCCGTCTGGACCCGGCTTAAGTAGAGAAACCCTATGATTTACTAACTATACCTACACTCTTTATTTCGTGCAAATTGATTACAATCGGCAGTAAGAATTTCAACTCGCACAATTTTTACGGCTCCTACAACTTAAGGACGAAGCACACTTATCAACCCGGAAACGGATTATAACCGTATCAACTCGAGGCGGTCAGTATTCTTATTCGCACCTGGAATCAGATTCCCCTGGTACACCTATCCCAACCAAGGTGTTCCTACCCCCTCTAGATCAGATTACCCCCTCCTAAATCAGACTACCCCCTCTAAATCAATAGAGTCAGATCTAGCAAGTTATTAACGCCTCGCCTCACGGCGAAAGGTGATTATGGTGTTAATCCCTTTCTGGGTTGTTAAGTGTGCTATGTCCTTTTGTGCCCAAAATAATTTCAGTGAATTATAATTTTTTATTTGTAAGAAAGTACTACAAAGGCCATACTTTCCGCTGGATAATTAGCCCTTGGAATAGAAAGCCTACAAGAACTACTTTTTCCCAGGTTCCTCGGTCTAGGCCTGGTAGGGATAGACGAGCTCCTGGCCGCGCCGTCCCAGCGGCAACAGATCGCGCTGCAGACCCGGCCCATGGAGGAACACGACGTGTCCGGGACACTCACTGTGGAGGTATGGGACACTTTGTTATGAAGGGACAGTTGATTGAACAGAAAAGTTGACAGTTTGACACAGTTGATTGGATCACCTTATAAGATGTGATTAAGTTAGAAATATGCTAACATCAGGCCTCTTCAATCCGTCTGGCCATAAACTAGCCAAACCCTCTGTTTTGTCTTTGGTGAATTAGGGAGCGTCCTCCTGTAATGGAGTTGGAACTCTCCCATCTAAATTGTCTATGGCAAAGACGATTAGTTAACAGCTCCAAAATTCAATTGACTAAGTAACAATATTTATTGATTAAATTAATACGGCAAACTGAGAAGAAACATAAGGCGTTAAATTACAAAAACTTAAATAGGCTTTAGACACGTGTTTAAAATTATGTTTTCGTACTAAATGTCAATTTAAACATGTGTTCAACGCCCGTTTAACTTTTGTAATAAGCTCCTTTTAATTTTTAGATCAAGAAAGATAGAAATGTTTTTAAAGAAGTTGTGGCTTGGAATTATTGTCTAGGAATCTCTGTACCGTTAAACCGCGCGTTAAAATAATTCGTTCACAATTCTACCCGTTTTGTTCCAGTTCCTGTTCATAGAAGGCGCCGACATCCCCGACTTAGGCTCGCGGCCGTTCAAGATCAAGGAGAGCCTGCGAACGCTCTCGCCCCAAGGACATATGACCACCACCACCAAGACTGTCTTCAAGCAGAATGGTGAGACTGGCAACGAATTGTATTGAGTCTTTTAGTATTACACACAAGCGTTGACGTTGCTTTGCGTCGTCGCAACTCGCAACGCACACAAAGTGCCTAATTACAAAAAAATTAAACTAGTGATCAACTTCCACATTTCTCATCAGTTTCCATCTAGTCATCCCACCTAGACACATGGCCACCACCACCAAAACTGTCTTCAAGCAGAATGGTGAGACTGGCAAGAATTTGTATGAAGTCTATGGAGTCCTAGTAACACCATGTTGGGCGCCAATCTTATATTGAATTAATGATAGATTACAAACGAATAATAAGTAAATCTCTATTTTCTAAAGTAAGTGGCCTTGAGGTGGTAAGGCTGGGCAACGATTTATTTTCCTTCAGGTTCTATATTTGAAGTCTATGGAGTCCTAGTATCACTGAGACTGATTTCCACAACTAATATTTACAATGAAATTTTGTAAGGATGGATGTTTGCCTGTTTTTCACGCAAAAGTACTGCACAGATTTTGATTTATGTAGCTGTAAGATTCAGGAAAAAATATAGGATATTGGAAGTGGATACACGCGCGATTAATTTATTACTTTCTGTGATAGACCGGAGTGTTCCATTTTTGAGTTTATAACTCCAATATTTTCTTCCAGGTCACGACAACAGCCAACTAACGGAGTCGGCGCTGCGAGAGCTGGAGCTCAGCCCTACTAGTGCTGCCAATAAGTCCACACTCATCATACACTCCGTACAGAGGGTAGGCATACATAAACATAGGTAGTCTGCTCTAAGGGGGACAGTTCTGATAAGGGATTGGGAGGGGAAATCTAGAAGGGGTAAAGCCTGGTCCGTGAGCACGTAGAATCCCGTCCAATGACCCCACGCTACCCATCCTTATCGCTCGCGCGTAATTATGTTGCTGTCGCGACTGTGCGACGGGCGCCCGCAGTGAGTGTGCGAGCGCGACAGCAACATAATTACGCGCGAGCGATAGGGATGGGTAGCTTGGGGTCATTGGACAAAATTCTACGTGCTCGCAGATCAGACTATAGAGGGTATAATATGGGGGTGGGGCAGTCTAGAGGGGGATGGCTCATCATACACTCCCTGCAGAGAATAGGCACACATTAGAGACATAGATAGCTCGATCTAAGGGGGCTGCAGTCTGCTCCAGGGGGGAGAAAGTAGTCTGATCTAGAAGGGTATTTATTTATTTAATTAAAATGCAAGTGAGCTTACAAATAGATCCAAAGCGCTTACATCACAAATTACATTAAGGAGGGGTAATCTGATTTAGGAGGGGGTAGTCTGATCTAGGAGGAATAGGAGAGGGAGGAATACTAATCTAAAGGGGATAGTCTGATCTAGGAGTGGGCAGTCTGGTCTAGGAGGGGGTAGTCTGATCCAGGAGGGGGTAGTCTGATGTAGGAGGGGATAGTCTGGTCCAGGAGGGGAGGGAGTCTGGTCCAGTAGAGGGGAAGTCTGATATAGAGGGGGTAGTCTGATCTAGGAGGGGGTAGTCTGATATGGGGACTAGAGGGGAGGACAGTCTGACCTTTCTAAGAGAGGAGGCAAGTTGATTATGATATCATTTTATAAGTAAAGACTTGAACTTCGTTAATTAGGTACCTATTATCATTTTAATTCTGTGAGTGTGAAAGTTCGTGTGTGGAAAGGAATGATTGTGTTTGTCCACCCCCATAATTGTGTGATATCATAATCTTGTAAAAATCGTTTGAAAACGATTTATTCATTGCCTAACTGTATTGTAAAATAGGTTTTATTTTAATGTCATTTTAACACTGTCTGGTGGTAACTTTGAAACATTTAAGTATTAAAATTTCCCTTATTTACTTTATTTTTTATTTTCTTTACTTATTTTTCTTTAATTTTTTGTTTCAATAATGCAATGATGTTTCAAAATTATCACCAAAGAGTAAAGAGTGATCGTGTTAACGTATTTTTGTTTTTTTTTTTTTTATCTGCGTGGTGCATGACATGAAATTATAGGAGCCGAAGAAATCTATAAAGGTGGGTTCATATTCATTTAAATAATTAATAACGATTGGGTCTTTTGATCGAAATAAATAACATAAATTACTTTAATTTTAATATCTTTTTATCGATGAAAAGTACCCAACTGTATTTTTGTGTTAGTAAAGTTGCATTTTTATACAGTCCCTTCTGTACAGACCTAGCTAGTTTTTCCAGCATGTTCCATGCCCTAGTTTAGTCAGTCTATCATTTTGGATGTCATTTCACTGAGTCTTAATCTTATCAGAGATTATTCTGGAATCTTATAATATTATAAGGAAGAAAAAGGTAATGTAGGTACTTCTCATAAATGCCATTTTTATAAAGAATATTAACTAGCATTCTCTATGTATACAGCTCTTTCTGTCATGATGAGAAAACGGAGCCTTTTGGTGCCATGTCTCAAAAATAAAATAAATTTTAAAAGTAGATAATCTAATTCCTAGTAAAATGACGTCCAATTTTGTGTTGTTTGTTTTACACTAACATTCCAAAACTCTTACAAAAAGGTTGAACTAACCGATTCCGGCAAATTCGTCGAAGTCGAACGGGAGGTCATAGACAAGGAGGCCCAAGAAAAACCCATAGAGGAGATAGAGGAGGGTGTGAAACAGAAATCGGTCACCCCCAACCAATCTCCAGGAAAAAGTGTGAGGATAAAAGAAAATGGGGACAAAATACCCGAGAACGGAGAAGCGGTGAGTTGCTAGCCGTTGATAGCTACACTTTTCTGACTTGGTGGTGGGAAAAGGAACTAGAATAAATACATAATGTTGTGGGTTAAATTCAATAATTTATTTGCTAGAATACATAATTAAAAAAGCGACACCTAGTTGATTTTTTTCCTGCTCCTTAAAACAATGAAATATCTATAGCAGAATCGATTTCACGGTCTCATGGAGCGAAATACCTTACTTAGTTTACATACTATCGGCCACAGAGTTAACTATCCATTTCCGTTTTTGCTCTCGCTCTCGTGAAATGGTGATTCTTTGCGATAGAACGAGACGACATGACCGGCAACGGGCAGTTAACACTGTTGCCGTTAGTACGAAAAGAGAGATCTAGATAACACTTTGGTGTAGGTACCTACTTAACCACTGAGATAGAAAAGTCAGTAGCTATGATCTACAGTTGAAATATCATTTTAACTCAGAATCATTTTAAGTACTTTTTGGTTATAATTCTTATTCAGTCCTCAAGACTTGAAAGAAAAATTCGAAGGGTAACAATTACATATACGAATATACATAAATGAATCCTAAAGGTTATCGTGTAGGTACCTTGATATTTCAACTTAGCGGCATTTTTATAGTGTGTCGTTTTAAAAACTAATTTATTAATTAACTAATAGTTATGCGCATGACTTCACTTTATTCTTGTAAATCTGGTAAGACGCACATATTATTTTGAAACGATTTATTTATTTAAGTATTTATATCGCATATTATTATACAATTTATATTTATTTATAATTTTATTACTACCCTACTAGATAATACAGAGCACAGCATTAATAATGCACAAGTTTTTTGAAATTTTAATGTGGTAATTCTGTAATTAAAAAAGTCGTACAATACAACAGAATTGTCACCCATATTAATTACACTTTTCACTGAGATCGAAACTTTAATTTTACATTAAAACATTAGATTATTTCAGTAAATATACCTAAATAAAAACTGTTAACGCAGTATAAAATTTTCCAAACAAAATTATCGTAGAAAATTAAACCCTACTGAACTGAACATAGCGTTGACAATCCCACAGCAAGGGGACTACGTGAACCGAGAGAACGCGCCCCCCGAGCCCGCCCCCCGCCAGAAGAGAAGGAGAGACTTCTTCGGCACCATCAAGAGAAGGTAACTTTCCTATTATTTACTTACGTAAAATAAAATTGTTTAATCAATATTGACTGGCGCCCAACATGGTGTCATTGGCGCCCAACGTGTTGTTTCACTGGCGCCCAAAGTGGTGTGTCAGTGCCACCTAACGTGGTATGTCATTACCACTTAATCTGGTGTTCTATTGGTGTGTCCAATGTGGTGATTGATGGCGCCCAACATATTGTTTCACTGGCGCCCAACGTGTTGTTTCATTGGTGCCCAACGTGTTGTTTCAGTGGTGTACATTGTGTTGTCCAGTTAGCGTCAAATAGCTCGTGACATTCAAAATGGCCAAAAAGTTGACAACACAACCTTATTTCAATTGTAACAAAGACGTGTTGCGAACTTTTTAGTTACTTTGGGTCTTACAAACTATTTGACACTGACTGTCCAACGTGATTGGCGCCCAACGTGGTGTTTCACTGGCGCCCAACGTGGTGTTTTCAAAACAAAAAGAACTTATCTAGGGGGCCTAATTATTTATTACTTATTTTCCCAGACTGGGTCGCTCCCGCACTCGCGGCGCGTCGCTTGACCTTCCAGACTCGGACATAGACAACCAGAGTCGCATACGCAGCGTCAGCGCAGAGAGAAACAGCCATGGTGAGTGTTGAATTTAAGAACGGTATTGCACATGATTTTTTTTTTAATCTGTAGCTAGTAGGTAGATTTCAGAGGGCTTAGTGTGAGTTTACATCAAATGTCGTCACTAGTGACCGCGTAAAAAATAATTTAACGCCCCCTGTACCCCTTTTGGAGGAATAATGAAAGCATTAATTGATATGCCATAATTTGAATTATAGAGCAGAACATGCATTAGCAAATTACAATGGAGAAGACGGAAGAGAGCATAGACAATGTTTACAAATTTTCTAAACTTGTTGGTGTTGCCAACAAAGGTGACTTTAGAAACGACCTTAAAGCTCATAGCAGACTTATCAACTCGGAAAGGGATCGACACCATATCGCCTTCCGCGAGCTGTAATAGCCTTTCGCGCTCGGTGCGGATAAGTGTGCATGGTTATATAAATAAATGGATAAATGTGTGTGTGTATGGATGGAGTTTCATACAAAGAATACTGACCGCCTCGAGTTGATACGGTTACCATCCGGGTTGATAAATGTGAGACGTCTTTATGCTTGTTATTTTTCATAAGTTTCAGTTAATTATCTCCGAACAGGAGCGCTTTTATTTAGCCTAGGTAAACTTCTAGGTTTAAACTGTAATACTAAACTTGTCCTTGTTTAAAATTACTGCAGTAAGCAAGATGATAAAAATCATGTTACATATTTGATTATTGATTGTATATTATATTTATTTTCCAGAAAAAGCCTTATCCGTCCCCAATAGAAACGTATATTCGGCCGGCGCGTCACCCGCGCAATCCGGCGACGAATCGAGGACTTCCAGAAGGTACGGTCTTGTCCATACTCCTTTTCATTCAGGAATTGGCTGTTATTTGATCAAATTCTTCTTGTATGGTCTCTATAGGGGGATGTGTGGGTTTATTACTTGAGTGCAATATTGGATACATAATAATGCCAGCGAAAAAAATCTAGTACACATAATATTGGCATGTTTATACAAATATTTGCCATATCTCTTTGACTAAAGTAAATAAATTATAAACCTTACATACTAGACTTAGTTACCAGTGATGACTTTTGATTCAATTACGTAAATATTTTACAGAGTTTAAAAATATTCACAAAAAATAGATCAAAAATCAACTGGGGGTACTTTTCTTGTCAGAAACATCTTCTTTTTAGAACTTATTCTTTTATTTGGTATTTGAAATTATATTCTCTAGTTATTATTTATAAATATATAAATAAAATATTTTGCTGTGGCATGGCAAGGCTACATTATACACCAATAATTATATTTATTTATTCTAACTTATATAAATAAATAGTAGTTTTACTAACTGCTTTTAACTTTAAATAATGCTGTCTTGCCATAAAGAATAATTAAAATACATTTTAAAGCTTAATATCCTCTGTAATAAAAACAAATGAAAATTCTTCTTTTTACCTTTTTTGAAGAAGAATAAAAAGGTTTTATATTATTACTGAGGGTATTTAACGAGTGGATATTATATTAGCATAATTAATTGAGCATTTTCTCTTTTTTTCATCTACCAACACTCACAACTGCTGGGGGTAAACGCACTGCAATCTGGTAACACTGGTTTTTCTTACTAATGGTTCTACTTTTTAATAAAACTGCGCTCGAATATGTCTGTTTTACAATTTTTTCACGAATTTTGATTTTAATATCATTTTTTTTTCAAATGCTTTTCTCTGATTTTGCACTCGCTGTTATTTACAAACCTTTTATCATTTATCATAATGAATACTTTTGCACTACATTTCCCGTCACAAAAATCATTCATCAATATTTCTCTTTTGATCTACCAAAATTTCATTCCATCTGATTCCATAAACTTCAATCCGAACCACACCTTCCCAAACGACCTCAATCCACCTACCCCTAATCTCAATCCATTCCACGTAACCCCAATCCATTCCACGTAACCCCAATCCATTCCACGTAACCCCAATCCATTCCACGTAACCCCAATCCACGCAACAAAATGTAACCCAAAAGGTCCTCTCTCAGCGAAGTGTCCGGATTCAGTACGGCGTCCGCCCGGACGTTTATCCACGAAGCATCTACCCTGGTGCTGGAGACCATAGAGGCTGGCATCAAGAAGCACTACCTGGTTCCCCTGACTGTGGCGCAGAGGTCCCGGTGGCGACGGAAGGGCGTCAAGCTCCATATCTACAATGAGCACACGTTTATCGCTAAACATCTGAGCGGGTGAGGAATGATTTTGGATAAATTATGTTTTGTGATTATATTGTGTTCTTAATTAACTTAATAGTAAGTGTGTAAGTCGAAGTCCAGTTGGCATTGTGCAAAAGTTGTGTGATTGAAATTTTGCCGTTGAACTTTTTATTCATCATCATTATCTCAGCCATAGGACGTCCACTGCTGAATATAGGCCTCACCCAATTCATATTGCCCGTTGGTAGCGGTCTGTGTCCAGCGCCTTCAGCTACCTTTATCAGGTCGTCGGTCCACCTCGTGGGTGGACGTTCCACGCTGCGTTTTCCGGTACGCGGCCTTCACTCCAGAACCTTACTGCCCCATCGGCCGTCAGTTCTGCGTACTAGTGCCCTGCCCATTGCCACTTCAGCTTGCTAATCCGTCGGACTATGTCAGCGACTTTAGTTCGTTTACGGATCTCCTCATTTCTGATTCGATCTCGTAAAGAAACACCGAGCATAGCCCTCTCTATAGCACGCTGTGCAACCTTGAGCTTCTGTATAAGGCCTATAGTGAGAGGCCACGTTTCCGAGCCATAAGTCATCACCTTTTCATTACGATAACGATTCGAATGTTTCTCTTTCCAGCGGCACCGTGTGCGAAGTATGCACCAAGACAATAGCGCGGCGCCTCGGCAAGCAAGGCTACGAGTGCCGCGACTGCAACCTGCGCTGCCACAAGCACTGCCACGTGCGCGCGCCCGGCACGTGCCCGCACTCCTCCGTGCACAATATGGAGCTGTAAGTGCAAGGAATAGGGTGTATATTCCTGTAGCAAGAGAGACATAGAGTCAAGAATTCCAGACACATCTCAGTGCACTTTATAAGTGCGAAGGATAGGGTACAAAGTCGTGTAGCAACGCCCATTGGCAACTTACATAGTCTCTAGTTACGTGCCGTACCGACACCACACTCCTCCATGTACAGTTTGGAGCTGTAAGTGGGGGGAATAGGGTGTAAATTCCTGTAGCTAAAGTACGGTCGCCGAGCACGTAGAATTTCGCACACTCACTGCGGACAGACACATCTCAGTGCACAACTAAAGTGCGAGGGATAGGGAGTAAAATGGCAATCGGCAACACATATAAGTAGTTTCTTTCTGGGCACATGCCTGTACTTACTCCTCCGTGCACAATATGGAGCGTAAGTGCGGGGGATAGGATGTACATTCCTGTAGCTACACAGAAATAGAGACAATAATTCCAGACACTTGATCCGTATTGTCCGTGTGTAAAATATGGAGCTGTAAATGCGAGAGATAGGGTGTAAAGTCGTGTAGCAAACTAGCAACGCCCATCAGCACTAGTCACGTGCAGTACCAACACTCCTCCGTGCACAATATGGAGCTGTAAGTGCGGGGAATAGGGTGTATATTCCTGTAGCAAGACAGAAATAGTCAATAATTCCAGCGGAAACTTAAGGACGTAGCGCACTTATCAACCTGGAAAGGGATCGCAACTCTATCAACTCGGGGTGGTCTTCTTTGTATGAAACTCCATACTGCAACGCACACGACTTGTTATTGTGGTTGACAGCGTAAAAAGGCGATAACAGCTCGCGAAAGATACGATGTTGATCCCTTTCCGAGTTAAATCTACTGTGACCTTAGGATTCCAGACACTTACTGGAAATTCTCCGTGCACAATATGGAGAGATAGGGTGTAAAGTCGAGTAGCAGTGCCCACAGGCAACTTAAATCATTTCTAGGCACTTGTCCGCACTCCTCAGTGCACAATATGGAGCTGTAAGTAGGGGGGATAGGGTGTATATTCCTGTAGCAGCGCAGAGAGCACCTTAGACAGTGATTGATAACATCGAGCCATAAACTCTGATTCCTTACATCATTGGTTCCCAAAGTGGGGGGTGCGCCCCCTTGTAAGAAACCTGCGACCAATAAATAATCTTGATTGGAGGGGGGTGCGCGGATTTTTTTGTATGGTCGGAAGGGGGCGCGTCTCAAATAAGTTTGGGAACCAATGCCTTATCATGATCTATATCTCATCAACTATAACATACTTATTGTTATTATGTGCATTTGTTAGGCTACACTATAAGCACACAACATACTAGCCTTTAGACTTAATGACTTAAAATAAAGTAACACACAACAAAAGGCCAGGAAATCAGTAAAGGTGATACATAACTATGTGCTTGCATTCATTCATTTCTTACTACCACATTATTATCATGTAGTTTCTGCATCAATTAAACAATATGCCATCTTGTTCAAGCTAATTATTATCATTTATGGGAATGATCTGCCTTTTTCTAAAAAAAATAAAGCTTTTAGTATAAAAAACATAAAAATAATACATATCTGGTGAAAAAAATCACAAATGAAGTAAAAATGATGGCACAAAGTATGAAAAGATAAGAAAAAGGCAGAAAATATATGGAAGTTTATGAGAATGTTATAGAAAATGTGCTTATGATTATGTGGTAATTAATAAATTTAAAGAAAATTACTCAATGTCTCTTAAACTTCTGAAATTATTTTTATGCTGCTATAGCTTATAAATAACTTTATTTTCAATGCTGCCAAAGGTCACATTCCCATAGCTTTGGAAATGGAAGGTACTTACATAGTTTAAATTAGCTTTTTGAGCTTTGCCATCATATCTTTTTATATATTTGATTTCCTACGTACCTACTTATCTATAATTTTACAACTATCTACATTTATTCATCACAAATGCTTTGATATTTTTATTTTAGTAGTGCGTACTTAGTTATTATCTTATTTTGCCACATATTATGTAGTAACAGGATTATGTACTTAAAAAAAATATATGAAATTAAAGTTAGGATTATACTTATTTTTATATTTCATGCATTCATCCGCTTTTGCAATTATTCACTATAAGATTTTAAGTCGATGAAAAGAGTGTCAGTGATTTTTTTAAACTTTTTTTTAGATATTTCGACATGATATTTATTTTAATATTGTTATTCTTCTAGATCCATGCTCCCTGTGCTAAATGAGTAATCGAGATAAGCAAGAAGACTGCAAGAAAAATATATTTAAAAAACACAAAAAAATACACGAGCAATTTCCATTCAGGTTCTTTGAATGTGTTAAAGTTTGTAGTCGCCATTCTGTTTTAGCTTCGTGTGGCATGATTTTATTTTAAATTCTACTTCAGAGAATATTTTTTTATATTACTAACAGCACATTTATTTATTTTACCTTAATAGTTTTTCTCTTTGCATATTTTTCCACTGTTTTATTATTGAAATGCATGAATTTGGTGTCGTAGCACAATTTATTTAACAATCTTCAGAACTGAAGCATTTTGATTGCGTTTATTGGTTTAGATAGTTTATTTTAGGCAAACCACAATACTGTGCGCCTAAAAATATTTTTTTGCATAGTCAAGTGTAATTTTTGTATTGTAGATTGATGTTTTTATTATTTTAAGATTATTAATATGTTTTTCTTTTTCGCAGGACATACATTTCGTCACCATACACCGACAAGAATATACGGATGTTGTGATTCATGAAGCGCTTAAACTGCACAAAACATCACCAATATTACCATCTACTTAAATTATAACAAAATATATACCACAAATCTCTCTAAGTACAACACTTATGTACGCTATTATATACATAGGCTTTTTTACAAATATATTTATAATAAAAAATATAATTCTAGGTTTAAGAGAAACAAACGTAGAGGTTCTGAAGCGTCGCTGAAAATATAAAATACTTTTGAAATTTTCCGCTTTCTGTCACTGATATATTGGCATATAGAGTTAGTTTAGGTATCGCTAGAACCCACCATCAAAACCATTATCTCTAATGCAAATAATTATTAGATATTTATATTGGTCATCACCACACATTGCCTATGACGCCAGCTTAATCAAAAGAGAATTTCAACAAAATCTCTACCTCATTTCCTCAAAGTTACGACAATATATAACTTTATTCAAAGTTACCAGAATATACTATCGTTTTTGTTGTTTTTATGTTGTTATAAAATTTTTAAAATGAATATTGTATAACTCGAATAACTATTTATTTTAGTGACCTAAGTGCTTTTGCACGAAACGTGATCTGTTATTTTGGGTTATTCCAATAAACCCATGGAAAAGGGGGTTTCTGGAATTTTTCTTTGGAACTTTTTGGACAAAAAGTTTAGCAGAGGTTTATTGGAATAGCTGTTATTTTTAATGTGCAATAAAATACTTGCGCTTAGAGCTTCAAACCTACATTTTAAATTAGTCTTAAATAATTTTGGCCATAGTACAGTGACCACCAAGTTTGAACCAGTACTCGTAGATTTCTTATTTGTAAGTGTGAAATTGAGTTTCGAGTGACTGATTTTGTAATGTGCTACAAATTTTTCAATTATTTTTATTTTATAATTGGCACCTACCTATATATTGGTATATCACCCTGTTCTCTCAAAAAGATTATATGTACTTAAACTTTTTTACTATCGCTTACCTAATTCAAAAAAGGCATACTTAAAAAATACATAAATTCTTGAAAAGCCTCGCTAATCGACAAAATGGTCGAATATAACGAATAAATAAGTCAAAAATGGCCTAAAAAGTGTGTTCTTAGTTGTATACATGAAATATTTGTAGCATTTTAAATATGATAATTGTATTCATAATAATTATTACATGACACTTCTATTTGTACTCTTTTGGTGAGATGTTAACGCATAATGTTATGTGGTTCAGTATAATACAAATAATACAACAATTTATTTATAAATGTTGCGCAATGTGTTTACCGTCTGTAATTTTATTTTCCTCTTTTTAATAAAATGCCTTTTTTACATTATACGTTTTATTTACCCGTACAACAGTGTAGGTATCAAAGAATTTCGTATAATATAAAATGGTAGTATAGACAATCTATGGAAAAATTATGTAGGTATTATACCAAAAATCCATTTCTTCTTTATTATTATCAGTCTGAATTTGTTTTAAATCTGTTAAAAGAAGACCAAAAACTTAATTTATACGACACTTCACAAATAAGACAGGACAATTAAAAATTATGCAAACCATTAAAAAACTAGATAGGTGGTGGTGCCTACTGTTACGAAGCACTTCTAGAAATAAAACATAGTGTTTCTCTTATCATTTTATTGACTGGAGCGTATGTACATACAACAGGAAGCTAACATCTCACAGCATCATTGCAATCTCAACACCATTACTTTGGATTCTTGTACACAACACGACCCTTATTTTGAAGACCTTCCATTTGCAAATTCGCCATCTGGCGGTATATGTTTGAATTCTAAACATGCGTGTTATGTACAAAAGTAATTCAAAATCACACGTAAATATCTGTTTAAAAATTTGCATTTTGTATGGAGTTGGGAATTTTTTTTGGGGATATTTAGTATATTTGCAAGTTTTTCAAAAATGACAAATTACTTTTTTTTTCTTTCATTTTTTGATAGTACATGTTTTTTTAAGAGAGGGGTTTGTGGGAGGAGGCAAATTTGACGTTATTTTAGGAAACATATTCACGTACGCGATTCTAGGACTTTACGTTCGGCGGTCGCTGCCGCGGCATGTTCTTTTTTTTTGTAATCCAGCTAGTTTTTTAAAATAAACTTAAATCGCTCGTATCTCGAAAACGGTGCGTCCTAGCGCAAAAATAACGTCAAATTCGCCTCCCCCCGTAGACCCCCCTACTATAAAAATGTGTACTATTAAATGAGAGAAAAAAAAAGTCATTTTGAGCATTTTTCAAAAAGTAAAAAAAAATTCTTGGCTGTAGTAATAGGGGTAACACAGTAATAGTTACAGTTGACAGATATTTACGTACAATTGTTTTTATTAACGATAATTACGTTTTAGTGACATATTCTGTAACATAAAATACAGAATATCAAGAAAATTAATGGGACATATAAAATAACAACCAGATTTAAACAAGCCAAATCGTAATAATGAATACAGGGTGTTTCAAAATATAGAGAACATAGTCTTTGGTGACGCTTCTCTTGTTTCTTTCTACCAATCCATCCAAATAGGATGTCACTGCTGAAAAATGTAAAAAACATCCACAGAGATGTCAATTATAGCTTCGAGCCGTTATTGGATTTAACCATAGAGATATTATAGAGAGATTCCAAGTAATGCGCTTTCATTAAATTAATATTAAAATGCAGTCTAGGAAACAATATTCGAATTAATGTAGTGAATAGATATAGGAATAAAAATTGTCAGGTTATCATACCAGCTTTGCATTCATTTCCTTCAAAACCCAGTCCTACTCAATTTTAGATTAGTTTACCTTGTAGGATTGTGTAAAATATTGCATGATAATTCGTTATTTTAAAATATTTTTCTACATTTAATTTTCACTCAAAAGAACAAGTATAAAATAATAAGTTATCATTTTTAAAAAATCAAATTAATAAATAAAAGGATAGTTTTTTTAAATATTCTAAAATAACAAATCACCATTTGAGGTTAAAAACACGGCAGTGTAAGTTTGAAACGAAAAAAAAAACAAAATACGATCACAAAAAATATAATTCGATACTAAAAAATGTATGTACAATACATAAATCAAATGACTACAAAATTTAAGGACAAAATTGTATAAACAACGTATGGTAACCTATTCTAGCGACGTTAACTAAAATACAATGCAATAAATTACAAAAAAAATCTAAATATTCGAGAGAATAGCCCCGAACATCGAATGCACCGAAAAATAATGTCTAACAAAAATAACGATTTAAAAATCAAATACTGAGAGCGATATTACAAACACATAATATTTTTTTATTATAATAATTAATCGCAGTACATCGTACAATATTTTTAAGTTGAAAACTAGTTGACATCCATTATACAGGGTGTTAGGTAAATGGGTATATGAGCCGACACTAGCCCATGTTTACATGGGCATATAAATGGTATGGTGAAGTCAGAAATTTGATATCATCATTTTAATTTGTTAAATTTTCATACAAAATAAATTTTATAAAATCCGATTTGTATGAAAATTAAAATAATTAAAACGAAGATATCAATTTTCTGACTTTACCATACCATTTATATGCCCATGTTAACATGGGCTAGTGTCGGCTCATATACCCATTTACCTAACACCCTGTAGAACACAATCAGAAAAAAAGATATTTTCGTATAAACCTCAAAAAGAAGAAGTTTTCGTTTTTTTTTGTATTTAATACTTCCTGAAATTGAATTCTGGACATCACTTAGTTTTCAAAATTATTTAGGCACAAAAGAAAAAGTCTACATAATGGCATAATCATTTTCTACAGAATAAATAGTCTTTGACATAGCTGAGACCAATACATAATATTTATATAGCGTTAAGCTAGACCCAACTAAAATTTGGTTAGTTTTGCTTTATATTAAAATGATTTTTAATACTAACATATTACACAGTATCTTACATATTACATAGTTATATAGTAAATATCACTAAGTGTTAATCACTTGCTATAATGGTTTTTTCATAGTGGAATTCTACTGTGGTATCGAAAATAAAACGTAAAAACACATAAATGCATTTCAGTCGAACGACCGAAAAAATATTGGAATCTTCACTTGGAGCACCAGTTTTGTTTAAAAAAAAAANTAAAAAAAGCCAATCGTTTATTTAATTTTGTTCGCTACGTTATTCGTTAGTGTCACGTACAAAAATGTAAATAGTAAAAAATTGGTGTTTACGGTCTGTGTTTTGTACGTTTGGAAAATCATAGGCCTTCACTCGGTCTGTGATTGGAATGGTATATCAGTCCAACTTCTCTTATTAACTAAAAAATAACGATCAAAACGTCGACGCATTTTTATGAATCCTCATTTTTTTTTATGTACTGCTACTGACATGTACTTTTTAAAATTGTGTGATACATTTTGTATAGTATACGGCGTTTTCGCCTCTGTTGCCGAGAGAGTGGGTGAGATTACTATAAACCTTATTATATTTAATGGGAGCGATCTATAAAGCGTCTTAATCTAGTTTGGCCTATCGTGTGATTATAATGGACACCTGAGGTATAATCCTGGCCAAAAAAACAACAGTGTTGCCTACAAAAAAAAACTAAATAAAAAAAGAAAATCAAAAATAAATGTTACATTTTCACTATTTCAAAAACTCGAAAAGAAATTATTCATATTCAAACTGAAACAGGTAAAACTTATTTTTATGGAAGACTTTCTCGATAAAATGTTTTGTATACAGGGTGTCCAGATATTTTAAAAGTGAAATATACATTTTAATCGCTCGGCAACAGAGGCGATGCCATAGCATATGTATGTTATGTAATATAATATATTACTTTATGTATAATATCTTACGCTATACCGTCGCTTGACGTAAAGTCAATAAATATAGAGTAATACTAATTACACTACATGAATATTACACATATTTATTTTTATCAACGTTTACCGGAATTCAATATTGAGTTTTATGTAACAGATACATAATAAAGTTTGTAACTCTGATTCATAAATTGTTTTTAAAATTAACACTCAAAGACTTTGGTATTTGCTATAGTTTGAAATTGTAAAGCTATGTATTGTTATTACAAAAATAAATAAACATACATCGCAGTTTCATTTCATATTTGCTTTTAAATATAAAACTCAATACTGAAGACAGTATAAACAGTATCCTTAAAAACTACGTACATAATACGTATCCGAATAAATATTTTTAAGTATAAAATTAAAAAAACACAACTTGCTCTTTTTATGCTTCGATTCGTGCGCTAATTACTAATTATACCAATCTCGATTATACGAACCAATCGGTTGATTGTCTCGACAACAGCCTTTTTATAAACACGTCATTTCGAATTATACGTTGATAGGAATCGACATCGAAGCGGATGTAGACCGATTTTTTGTGCTGGCAACACTTGAGGATTTGGTAGTTTTTCTTTATTTACACTTGCAACACTGACATCTTAATCTAATGAAAGAGAGACAGTTTTATTATGATTAATAAATACAAACACGATGATTATGTCAATAATAAATAAAATATGGCATCACAGCATCTTATCAAACCATTTAAGATGCAACAAAAGCAAAAGAAAATTATGAAAACAAAACTGGCAACACAAAAATGTTTTTCAAAAACTGTAATCATCAGGTGTTGCCATTGGATAGTCGTTGTTAGACCGCGTCCATCAGACAGACGGACCTTATTTTATATACGTAGTACGTTGCTTTGATCACAATATACCCCCGGTACCGACGAACAAATATTTTTGTTCTGTTTTACTCCACGTATCTCACTTTAAAAGGTTTTTAACCTTTTCCATTAAGTAAAATCAAAGATATTCCATAAATTATCTAAAGGCCATTTGCAACAAAATTAGGCTACTGAAATTACTTTTATTTATTTAAGTAGGTATTGGGATAAACATTAAAATAGTAAATCAGTTCAATATCAGCTTTAGAACATTGGGTAAATATTTTAGGCGTCAACATTTACATACATTTCGCTAAGAAAACTCTCAAAAATGCATACAATATTAATTATAGAATACAATAGTACATTGATAAATAGTCAAAAAATGTATATTAGCATTAATCGCAGAAAAATTAGCTAAAAGCAGTCATAGTAGCGAAATAATTCGACCTATATTTAATCAGTGCTAGATGCATTTTGTGTTTAACTGGGTAAGGTTTCAATTATAAGTTTTAGAACATTTTCTATTATTTGATAATTACTAAAATTATATTTGTGTATTCCTTCGTCCACTTCTGTCTCATATTTAAAAATAAAAATGTCACAAAGACAGCCTCCTTTCATTTTGTTGTACAGAGCGCAGATGACAAAAAAACTAAATGAAGGCAATACACTTACCTCAAAAAGCGCCAAATTATATTTAGCTCAGCTTGTAACAGCGCCATAGCTAGACAATGACAAAAAACTACACAAAAAGTAGTAAAGACATCTTCACAGAAAGCGCGGGAAGCCGTAGACAATCTAGAGTTTTGTGTCAAACTGACAGCTCGTGAATAGTGTTGTGGTGCATCAATATCGATTACCGATTGGTAGTTTAGTTATAACTATAGTATTAATGCTGATTTTTGGTGGTTTCTCGTTGATATTAGTAGTGAATGGTACCGTGCTGGTGTTTTCAAATATTTGTTCGCGGTCGCTGGCGGTGGACTAGTTTGTCACTCGACGACCTAGCGGCTCTCTTATCTGCGCGCGAATTCCGCCTTCATTGCTGTAACAATACGGTTCATATTAGCATATTCGTCGTCATTGTTTATGAAATTGAATGTCAGTTTGAAGGTGAAACATGAATCGGGTAATTATGAAATACAAGCTATCAGAATTTCATAATTGGCATACAAATTAACAATTTAAGTACGTAGGTACAGACAGAATCTCGTTTCAATAAAAACCATTTCTGAAATCTGATAAAATCTGAGAACTCGTGCTAATGATTGCTAACGATTAGCGAACTGTCATATAATTGCAGGTTCTGTTACGTCGCATCACGCATCTCTTTTTATCATACAGTGTTGCTGCTAGTGACATCTCGGTCGCTCAGTCCTTTGTCGCTATATTCCGCTAGGTATAATTATTAACTTTATGCTTTCGAGCTTGTTATTATAAACCTACAAGTTATTGTCCTACGTGGCGGAGGTAGATATTAAAAGTATTGACAAGCAACGAAACTTTTCATATTGTCTTTCGAGCCGGATATGAAATTATGAACCAGTGAGCTATAACTTTCTACATGGTCCTTTAAGCCGGTTATGAAGGGATATTTCTACATGGTGCTTCGAGTGGGATATGAACAAACGACTTCTAAGTTTATAACCACTCACCGTCTAGTATCTTTTTGATCAGCGTGAGCGGCTGACTTTTCTACATGGTCCTTCGAGCCGGATATGAACTGACTTCTAACCATTCACCGTCTAGTATCTCTTTTTTGATCAGCGTGAGCGGCTAACTTTTTATATGGTCCTTCGAGCCGGATATGAAGCAACAACTTCTAAGTTTCTAACCACTCATCGTCTATCACCCATTGTCTACCAGACTATAGTATCTCCTTCTTGAGCAGCGTGAGCGACTGACTTTTCTACATGGTCCTTCGAGCCGGATATGAGTCAACAACTTCTAAGTTTCTAACCACTCATCTTCTATCACCCATCGTCTACCAGACTATAGTATCTCCTTCTTGATCAGCGTGAGCGGCTGACTTTTCTACTTGGTCCTTCGAGCCGGATATAAAGCAACAACTTCTAAGTTTCTAACCACTCACCGTATAGTATCTCCTTTTTGATCAGCGTGAGCGGCTGACTTTCCTACATGGTCCTTGGAGACTTTTCTAATTCTACATGGTCCTTCGAGCCGGATATGAACTAACTTAACCACTCACCGTCTAGTATCTCCTTCTTGATCTGCGTGAGTTCGCGGCGCATCTCCTTCATCATCTCCTGCTTGAAGGCGTCCCATTCAGCCGCCGATACGCAGCCGCCTTCGTTGCCTCCGTTCACTTGCTGTGAAGACGAATTTATCGTAAGTTACGTTATCGTCATTTATAAGATTTTAAACTTTCGCGTTCCATTTAAACTAAAATAGTAAGACACGGGTGTGCTTGTTCACGTTGACTCGCGGGCGCGGTGACGAAATATCAAACATAATGTAGTGATTCCAAGTGTTCACGTACGAAACGCACGTGCGGTCTAACTAGCGGGCAAGCTAGCGACTGGTGCGCGCGGAGCGCTCGCGGTAATTTCAACGCGTGAAGATGTTTGTGTGTGTTCATGTCAAACTAGCGGCGGCGCGCGCGTTTCACTCGCGACGTCAGGTAAGTTCAACCAGTTTGAACTTGTCGCTAGAAACGAAAGTACGTCACACTCGCGCGAACGCCTGGTCGTCAATGTGAACACGAGCTCGCAACGTTTCCCGCGCCCGCGCCCGCGCGTGCCTACGTGAACAAGCACTTATCGCGACGTTTATTAATGTGTTACAGTATGTACTCACGGCTAGACGTTTCGGCTGCTATGCTGCAATACGGATAATGTGAGTATTGTGTGTCGTGGACTCGTGGTAACATCACTAGTGGCAATATGAGGGTAGTTAAAATTTTTCAAGCCCACCCGAACGGACGAAGCCGCGAGCCGCCAGTCTGCTTGTGACCACGGCTGAAGCATAGCAGCCGTGAGTAGGTACATAATGTAACTCAAGCCGTGAGTACATTATGCAACTCATTAAACGTCGCGTTAAGGGAGCATTCAAGTATTACGTAACGCAATTTGGGGGGGAGGGGGGTCTCGTAAAACGTTACGATGCGTTACAGGGGCGGGAGGGGGTCTTTGTTACAAGACGTTACGTAACATTGTTTCTTTTTTTAAATAAAAATTTAGGGAATTAAAACTCCCAAATTGGCAACCCTTTTCGTTTATATTTCACCGGGAATCAAGGACAAAAACTATAACATAACTTTTAACGCATTTAGGGTAAAAATGGTCACTTGAGTGTTACGTAACGTTTAGAGAGGGGGAGGGGGGGTACAGAAAAACGTTACGGTGCGTTACAAGGGGGGGAGGAGGAGTCTCAAATCTTCAAAAATTGCGTTACGTAATACTTCAATGCTCCCTAAGACCCGTGTCTTATTATATCAGGTCATTTAGTCTCCACTACTAGAATACGACCCTCTCAGGATTCCCCACACGACCCTCTTGAAAAAAAGGAGGGTTTGGCCTAGACTCTCTTGGCCAGACGGATTAGGGAGCCCTGATGTTTGAATATTTGCCCTTAAGGGCTCTTAGAACGTCTCAAACATGACGTTTTGAGCAGAACGGAAGCACCGATAACTGTTGTTAACTGTCATTTTTATTCCAACGTAGTTGTCATACAATTATTATTACGTATATGTATACGTCCGGCTCAAAACGGTTATTGTCAATTATTTGTCAAACAGGTTACGTTCAGAAATTTATATTACGATTTTAAAGATGAGTAATGCTTCAACCACATCAATGCGTGCCGATCGCCGTCGCGGCGCGATCACGGCGCGATCATAGGGAAATGGCAGGTCGCGTGGACTGTCATAGGCCAATGACAGGTCGCGTGGACTGTCATAGGCCAATGACAGGTCGCGTGGACTGTCATAGGCCAATGACAGGTCGCGTGGACTGTCATAGGCCAATGACAGGTTGTCGCAGAAAGAAGCGGCGGAGAGGGAGAGAGAGCCTGACGCTCCACCGAACCGTCGCCGACGTCCAGGACACCGCAGGAGACACTACCATCTCCATGCCCCCTCTTAAGGGTCCTCGGCCACTAGACACGGGGGTGTTTGGTGGCCGCTGGTGGTGTTCACGCGCACCGTTAGCGAAGACCAGGGGAGGTACTACTCCCCTGAAGCCAGTCGTCGCTTGCTCAAACAGAGCGAGCCACAGTCTGGGGTGGAGCCGCGAAAGAATGTCTAGGCCGTCTAGCTCGGACAATAACTCGCAGCACCGTCCCAAAGACTTCGGGAGGACACCGTCAGGTTTTAGTGAGTAGGCCCTGCCCATCTGGCAGGGAGAGTCTTACATAACCCATTGGTTCCCCCGGGCCAGTGGGTATGCAATTTCATGCATTTCCTGACTGGTCGCGTGGACTGTCATAGGTTTTATTTATTGGCGGTACGAAGTTCGCTGTGGCAGCTGTGTTACCAATTACTATTTACCTTAAGTATGGTCTCCTCGCTGGCGGAGCCGAACCTCTTGCGCACAGAACGCGGCGACGCCGGCGCCGCGGCCGCCGCCGACTCCGAGCTCGCTGCGGGAAACAGGACCGTGTTATTATGTGGGTAGGGTTCAATTTGCATTGTTACGGACATTCGCGTATTCACGGTTCGAGCTCGCTGCGGGAAACAGGACCGTGTAATTAAAGAGATAGGGTGCAATTTACATCGTTTATGGATATTAAAAAGTGGCAATGAAGTTGAAGATAAAGTGTACAATGAAAATCCATGGAGCTTTCATTTTGCTAAATGGCGTTAAACTAAACCAATGCTTTCCTGCTGATCACACTAAGTGCACTCATTTGTTACAACAAGTACAAATTGCATTACAAGCAAGAGGTGGTCCATCTTTACCTCTTATCTCCAAGCAGAAAAGTGCAAAATATTCAAAATCTGATGGCGTGCATCTTAAGCCAGATGGGTGAACCGACGAATTCCTGTAGTAGATTCTGTGCAGCAGTAGGTAGCGATGGCCGCCATTTTCAACCGACTTCAAAAA